AAAATGAATGAAACACAAGGAAAATTCCAACAGCCAGAAATTTTTCAGGACTCGCATGGACTGAAACTTACCTGATCAAATATAGATATGGCATGAGCATACTTCCCTTCATTAACCTGTAAAAAAGGTACATCACACGTTGAAGAGAATATAAGGTTTAAAACACTGGCAATTCAACAGAAACAATAACTGTGCTCAAACAGAAAGACGATTACCAAATAAAGGAATTATAACATACCTCCGCTATACCTCTTGATAGTCGAAAATCCACACTTATTGACTTGGACTTTGAAAGTCTAGCAACGCAGAACTTTTTATTTCTCTTGGAGTCATCACTAATTTCATGGCGTATATCAGATTTACTACTTAACTTTGGGGGTGTGGGGGGAGTTTCTGTCAAATCACTTGATTTGCTACAAATCATTGGTAATTTACTGCATGTATCACTTAAGTCATTGCATGATTCAGAGTCATAACCCAATTTATCATGAATATCATGATTCCCATTCATTTGGCTATCAAACTTCTTACTCGCTGCAGCTTTATCACCTATTCCATTGGGTACGTCCAAATTACCATTAGACTTGCTATGGACCTCAGAGGTAACTGTTGATTCACTGCATAATTCAGATTGATCACTCAATTTATTGTGATTCTCATGAGTCTCACTTGACTTCCCATTAACATGTGATCTTGATTCAGATGCAAGCATAGATGATGCCGACTGTTTTGCATTATTCTCATATCCAATACTTCTCTCCTCTTTTGCAGTTCTTACAAGGTCTTCCAGTTCTAGCAACTGCTTCAGATCAGCAGACTGACGCAAGGCATGTTCATAGCCTTGCTCCAAAACCAAAAGAGCATCCTCTTTCCTTCCCAAAGCAGATAATGCACAACCTAGAGGACAAAGATCAAGTCTAAGATCGCAAGAATGGCGGAGCTCCAACAGTACTTCATGTAATGATTCATCGTATACAAGTATTTAAAAAATTTAAGACATCAAATCATATAAAGTGTCAAATAAGTGCTCCCTGAGAGTGCACAATTGTGCATATATTCGAAAGAGCAATATGATTTCAACAAAATGAATTTTTAGCTCAATCAGTACTGTGCCATTTCAGTATTTTTTTACTTCCTCATAGCAAAGAAGATATACTATTCCATCCCAAAAAAAAATTGTAAATATATTATCAAATTCTTCAGTAAGTGTACTTCCCCTTTAAAAGTTTTCCACAGAACGTTTATTAAATCATTGATAAGTAACTTTTAGATTACGGAAAAAAAAATTCTCCAAAATACAAGGGCCAATACAAACCACACTGCAACTCATCTAAACAATGAACCTCTTCTTTAATATCTTGCTCACAAATTCTATGAGATTTTCACTCAGCCTCGACTACCAGTCACTTATTCACATTTGCCGTACACCTAAAATAAAAATTTAGAGTACATAAAATCTATCCGAAATGTCTAATTAACTGCGCACCACGTTTCATTATCAGCTAATTACGAGGAGCTTAACATTTTCATAATTGAGCTATCATTATCACCTAACTACTCAAATTATCTAAAATTTCCAAGAAAAACGAAATAAATTCTTCCAAGTCAAATAATAGTTTAAATTCGATAAAATGATCGAAGAAAAACCTTTGAGGATGTAAGCCTGAAGAAGCGCGGGGTCAAGCTGAAGCGCCCTATCGCAGTCCTTAATCACGTGCTTGTGTAGCTCCAATTGGCTGTAACAGAAGGCTCTGTTGCTGCAACACCAACATTAAGAGCCACAAAATTGATCAGAATCGAATTCGATTAAGAAATTGAAGATCAGCGGGAATTGAATGAGAGAGTGCGAGAGTGAGATAGAGAGTGTACGGACCAGATGTCTTGGATGGAAGAAGACTGGGAGAGAAGCAAGTCGAGGACTCGGATGGCCTTGGACCAGTTGCGTGAGCTGCAGAGCTTGGCGAGCTCCGCTCTCTCGGAGCCAGCTGCGGTCATTCTGAGTTACCGGAGCGAGTTGAGTCGGATGGATCGGGAAGGCGCGGTCTGTGTTCGTGTTTGTTCCTTTCTTTGCTTCAACGGCTCTAGCAAGAGGAAAGTGGTGGGGATTAAAGAGGGATAGGAGTAAAATGGGAATAGGGAAAAAGGTAAAGTTGAAAACCGAGAAGGGGGCAGCGAGGAGAGGAATGGCTGCGAGTCACTGGATGTCTTGTATGTATTCATACGTGCGGGTCACACGTGTTCCACGATTTGACATGATTGGTTGAGCTTTAGTGCTTTATTTGACATTTTGTCTTCTTTTTTCTTTTTTCTTTTAATTTTGGTTTGTCAAAGAAAATTGGTGTACAACGGGCTGGACCGGCCTCAATCGGGCTAAGGACAGTGCCCACGTATGAATCGGGCTCAGTTAAAGATTTTTGGCACATTGAGTCGAGTCGCAACAGACTTAGATTGGCCCGAGCCGGGGGGACGGGCATACTCACGAGCCCGGCCCTTTCGAATTAAATTCCAACTAAATATACCATATAGCAATGAAAGCATAAGTAAACACGTAGGCATGTAACTAAGTTGCAAGTTACACTCCAAAACTACGGTCCAGACCGGAGGCATAATTGAAAGAGTAATATTTAGTAATATATTCATTCTTAGCACTAATAATATAGTTAAATTCTACACCATTTAATTTCTATAAACAAACCCAAAAACAAAACAAAAAACTCAAAAAATGACAGATAACCTTATTGAACTTAATTTTGATTATTAAATTACTTTGATGCCTTATCGAGTGTTTTGGGTTTTTTTTATAAGGTTTTGGGGTTGAGTTTGTTTTAAGAAATTAATGGCATTTTTGTAATTTAAAAGAAGTTAAAAGCCTTTTGTTATGTTGTAAATGAGTTTTTGGTGTGTTTCTAAAGTCCATTTCATTAATAATTTGGGCTCCTATATTAGGTATAATAGTGAATCTCCCTAATTAAAATAGAGTTTTTCTATTTAAGCTCGCACTTCTCTTTGTTCACCCCATATTCTAAGTTCACCACAACTTCTAATTCAAATTTTCACAATTTCAAAGAAAACCTCAATATCTTCCTAAATACACACCCAGCATAAATAAATAAACTCATCAACCTCACACCCCACACCCTGCTATCTTACCCTTCATCACTCTAAGTTCACCTCAACCTCATAAAAACACTGTTGTCAAATGCGTAGCAGCAGTATTTTATTATTATTAAGTTGGATAATATCTATGAGAGCAATGCCAACAAATACATCCTACCAAATTTGTAGTTAGCTCAAGTGGTTAGAAGCAGTTACCTCTACACTCAAGGTCCTATATTCAAATCTCCCCTTCCTCAATATCGCTTGTAAATAAATAGACAAAAAGCAAAAAATAATTTTTTTCATTAACCAGTAATCACAATGTTGGCAGCCAATGATACAAATCAAAGTATAACTTGGGTGCAAACTACAATCGGTCATCCCTTTGTCATGTACCAGTATTATAAAAGAAAGGAAACACATACAATTTGAATAGAGCATCCTCTCCTTTGGTCTGAGAGAAACTTTGCACTGCACCTAAGACATTGCCAGAAGAAGATCACAAAGACACAAACCCTCAACTTCTCCACCTTTGCATGCCCTGTTCTTCAGTCACAACAAGGCCCATGTCTTCCAACCCAAAACCTCCAAAGCAAAAGGCGAGCATTAGTCAACCTCTTACAACTACGCAATTCAATGGCTGATCATAATGTGGTTTCTTACAATGCAATGATTGAAGGATACTGAAGACATGATAAGATGTCTGAAGCACTGGATCTTTTCAATGAGATGAAGCTTAGATTGCTCCACCCGAGTCTATTAACATTCGTCAGCCCTCTTCGTGTCTCAGCTAATTTATTTACATTGGAATTGAGCAAGCAAATCCATGCCCTGGTCACCAAATATGGGTACTGTTTGGACGTAATTGTTGGCAGTGCTCTCATAGATGTTTATTATAAGTGTGTGGGGTGTGTGTATAGATGTACTATTAAGTATTAAGTTGGATGACATTTTTTTGTCTTTTTACACAATAATAAAACTTAAGAGCTTACTGATTTAATTGTTGGGATGAACAAAGAAAATGTGGAGTTTAAATAAAAAAAAACTTTTTCAATATAAAAAACAAATATAAATGCCCAACCCAAACCCTCTAGCCCAAAATAAAATGAAACAACACTTTTTCTCCCATGTTTTAGAAAGAACGAAAAAAACACAAAAAAAGGTTGTTTTCTTTTAGAAAAACAGTAGCTACGTCACTGCCTTTGATAACTATTGTGTATGCAGCTTCTTGTTAAGCAATTGATCACTTTTCCAAATTCCAAATGGTAACACAACTCTATCAAGTACTCTTCTTTACGCTGGAATTTGCATACTAATGTTGTGATTTTTGGGCTGAATTTTGTTGGCATTATTGCTGTGATTTTTTAGGATTTCGTGACCGATTGGCCTGCCATTATCAATACATGTTTTGAATCAAACTCGAATACAAGAAGTGTACACAGAGTCCGAATTTGCAAGTTTGAACGAATTTGAAGGAACGGAACAATGCACATGTTCACACCATGATTTGCAAGTTTGAACGTATTTAAAGGAACGACGATTGTTACGATACACATATTCACACCATGAAAATCGTCGCACATGATCAAGGTGACTGACTTCAAGAAATTTTCCATGTCTTGCCGCATGTCTTAATAATTAAGTAAAGCTTGATATAATTTATATAAACAACTAGAATCCAAGCTTTCATACTAAAAAGGCGCGACGTGTCACAATAACTCCCATTCCTTCACATGACGTGGTCCAGGACTTTTGGACACGACAGCCAGCAAAGACGACGCCCTCACAGTGACCCGTGTCCACACAACAAATAACCTATCGTCCGAAAGCTAATTAATCACCCTCAATCTAGCCACAACCCCACCACCTACATTATTATTATCATAATCATTTTTTTACTACAATTACGCCGCAATATCATATCTAATGTGCCGAAGCAGCACCGGGATAACAATATCCGGCGAGCTCAGCTGCGGAAGATGACCGTCCGATGACATGACCTCCACGATCGACCCGCCGCCCAGATTCTGGTGCAGGTACTCTGTGACGACGACAGGGACAGCGAGGTCTTTTACGCTCTGCAAAATGTGGCAGGGCACTTTGATCAGATGGAGAATTTGTCTCGTGTCGCTCTGGAAGATGGTTTGGGCGACGCTGAGTGCAATGTCGGGGCGCATGTTGAAGAGGGTCCGGCTGAACTCCTGGACTGGAACCGAGTCCAAGTCCCCACCGACCGCCAGGGGTGCGAAACCAGAGCACCACGCCTTGTAGTTGGATCGGATCGCATCGAACAGCTGCTCCAGGTCTTCCTGTTCGAACCCGCCGTAGTAGTCGACGTCGTTGAGATACCTGAATGAAAGATTGTTTGGATTTGATTAATAAAATAGTTAATTGGGTTTTGGAAGTGGAATTAAATAACATAAAAATGATTGAGCAAGATCGGATAAACTGATATATTAATCCAAAGGTTTAAGTAATTGGGTTTGTGGGGTTTAGGTTAACTAGTTAATTAGATTGATGGATCCACTCCCACCAAATCGTCATGCATCTTTCGAGATTAAGAAATTGGGTTTTGTGGAACTGTAGGTTAATTATGTAACAATTGACTTGATTAGTTAATTAGATTGATGGATCCACTTCAGCCAACCCAGCAGAACAGTGTTGCCCTCCCCTTTCCCGGAAAGAAAACAAAATTATTAATGGAAAAAAAAAGTAATTGATGGATCCACTTTCCGGTAAATTTGGGGAGATTAAAGTAATTGGGTTTGTGGGACTTGAGCTGAATTGTATAATAATTGTCTAAAATAACCAGTTAATTAATTCATGGCTGCGGATCTTACCTAGGGGAGGCGCCGATCATGACGAGCTTGGTGAAGAGGTCGGGGCGGGTGATGGCGGCGATCGAGCCGACCATGCCGGAGACGGAGTGGCCGACGAAGATGCAAGACCCGACCCGAAGCTCCTCCAGAATGGCGAGGAGGTCGAAGGCGTAGCCCTCGAGGGTGGCGTAGCGCTCGAAGTCGAAGTATTCGGGGTTTGTCGTTCCGGCGCCCATGTTGTCGTACATGACCACTGTGTACTCGTCGACGAGATGGGGGACGAGGTGCTTCCAGACCGACTGGTCGGTGCCGAAGCCGTGGGCTAGGACTATGACCTGCTGGCCTGAACCCAGGACCCGCACGTTGTGAGCTTCTTCTACAATTCCCATTTCAAATGGCTCTCTCGATGGTTCGATGGCTCGGTGGCTCTCTCTCTGTCTGGTCCTCGTTGGGTTGGTTGAGCTAGTACCACATGTAAGAGCACCCGGTGATAAGATCAGCGAGGGAGCAATTATCGGGCGTTGATGGTGTACTGGAGCTTACTGTGTGTACCATTTATTGTTTTGACTAGGACGCTACTTGGCAACTTGAGGAGCCCTTTGTCGTTACAGCAGTCAATCACATCCTGCAACAGTCAATCGGGTCTAGTCCAAAGAAAAATTTGTAACATCGAGCTTGAACCTCTATAACACTTTGAAAAAATGCATTTCAGAAAATAAAAACTTCACATCCGAAACATATGATATGCAAAACTAACTTTAACTTATTAAAATTACGGAAAGAAAAATTTATGTATGCATGTCCGATTGTAATTTGACTGCACAGAATAACAACTCCTTCCATGCGAAGAGCCAAATATTTTCCATATTATAAAGAATTCTTTTTATGTATTTCTATGTCTATGACATTGACTCATAGTTGAAGTGGTTTTTAGGATCATGAGACATGGCAGTAGTGGGCATAGTGGAACAGTGAATTAGTATTTTGGAATAAAGAATATTATAAATTTTTTTTTAAAAAACTAGGAAGATGGCAAATCAATTGGTTTAGTTTGTTAGTTCTGTTCACAAATGTGTAACTATAAATTTGAAACTGGCATTCCAGAAATGTAACTAAAAACAAATCCCTCATTCGAGATGTGTGTACGGTTTGAATGGTGACCAATACATTGTATGAAGGCTATTTACCTCTCTCTCTCACTCATTGAAAGTTGGAATATTTCCAGAAAAGGAAATTTGGAATATTCAACGTTTGTTTTTGGACAATAATACAACGTCGAGTCTGTTGAATATTCAGCTCTTTACTACTAACAGATCTCCAAACAAACTTATCGTATCGCTCTCTTCATCAATGGACCTAAAATAATCAGCAATTTTGGCCACTATACCTCAAAACTAAAAATAATTAATTAATTTTTGAAAAATTCATCCCTTCTATTGTCATGTAACTGAAAAATGAACTTGAAACTCAAACGATTAAAAATATTTACGTTCATCTTTTTTTAATATCATGTAAATTCAGAGGTCCTCCTTAATTTGCCCAATTTTTGTTTTAAAAAGAGATAAAGATTTTTATTTTTCCGATACAAGCGAGATTGTGGGAAGAGGAAATCAAACCCAGGACCTAGGATATGCATGGGTAAATGCTCTTTAACTACTTAAACTACAAACTCTTTGCATCAATGCTTCTTTAAAAAAAAATATATATATATATATATATAAATCTGAAACCAAATCAAATTGATGCAATGAAAATCAACGTTGGTTGTTGGAGTGATCACAGTACACAAGTATGGTATGAGTATGGGTATGGGTATGGGTATGAGTTAGAGATATTTAATCAAATTTTCTAGAAAGGTTATATATATGAATTGTGATTGTTATCGGTACTCACCAATTCTCTTTATGATAAATACGAGTATAAACTCCGCGGGCTGCGGCCATGCAAGGGACGACAACATGTGCCCGCCAAAAGGGCGAGCTTCAACTCGCTGCCACAACTACACTGAATACGTAATCTACTGTAGAGCTGGGGCCCTGCTTGGATCCTAGCTAAACCACTGTGGATCTATCATACCTACTAAACTTCATGAATCATATACTTTTTTTTCTTCTTAATTTTTGTATACAAAATGTGTATGTATATATATACATACATATATATATGCATACTTTATGATTGTACAAAGTATTATACTTCTAACTATGCCAAGGAATTTGCTTTTGTTGGTTTAGTGAATTCTATAATACATCAACGGCTTATAATAGTTTACTAACACAATCCAACAAGAAAAACCAAACTCTGGAATTTGTGAGAGGGTCCATGTTAAGGAAAATAAAAGAACATGGGGGAAGTATATTATGCCACAATGCCACTCTCATAGGATTCTTGTATTGTTTGTGCTAATTTGGGGATTTATGCCCAAATAACCCAATTTAGGTTATTTTTTAGTTGTATGAGATATGCAGATGATATATATATATATATATATATATATTCTAATTTAAGATATTTTTGGAACGTATCCCTAAATTAATATCTAATTTTGTTGGATTTTGTTGTGCGTCACTGTCTTGTTTTTTTTTCAACATTTTGAAGGCGGTGGACCGGTGGTTCACACGGAATACTTGCCAGTGAAGAGCCTCGTGATAAGATCACGCCACTGCTATACTAGGTTTGATGAAAACAAAGAACCCAATTGTATAATTTTTAATGGGCTAATATCATTTTATCCCCTAAGATTTGGGGTCATTTTTTAAATGGGCCACCGAGGTTTAATTTTGTCAATTTACGCCCTAATGTTTTAAAATTCAACTAATTTACACATTCCATCAATTTGACCATTTGATCTTCTATTAAGTGATGATATGACAAACTCAGAGTTCACCTTTTTAGCTTAGGTGTAATTAAATATTAAAAAATTAAATAAAAACCTATCTCCTTTCTCTCTCTCTTCCCCCTTATAGTTGTATAATTTTTAATAGGGTTATTCGCATCAATGGTCCCTCAACTATACCCGTAGTTACATTTGGGTCATTGAACTCAATTATTAGTTGCATAGGTCACTCAAGTATGTGTTTTGTTGCACCAGTAGTCATTCCGTCAAGTCTATGAGTTTTTCCCGTTTAAAATGATGACGTGGCAAGCATCTCACATATTCTTGATGGGCAAATCTGACTTTTCAGTTAATTAAAACAAATCTTTTGCTTTTGAAGAGAACGACAGTTACACAGAAATGGCAATATGAGCAAAAGGGAAAAATCGCGAAGGTCTAGGGTTTTCAAATCGAGAGGTATTTGACTTCGATTTTTGGGGGATTTTGGAACATTATCTCAGCATTATGCTTTAATGGACTAAGTTGCGAAGGATTTTGAGTTAAAAAAGCAATAAAGTACAGATCTAGGATTTCAATTTCGTGGAAATCACAGAGAAAAGTGTCAGGTCTACTGTGTGTGGAGGCTTCTTCAAATGGAGACAATTTTTCGGTGGTCTGGAGAACCCCCCAAGTATGGAAAGTTACTATAACCTAAATATTCCTTCTACATTTTATATTGCAATATGTTCTATTTGCAAATGTGTGGTCCTCTTGTTGACAATGAAGTTTTGGCTTTAAGGTTGAAAAAAATGTAAGTTGGAGTCCTTATTATTGTATGTGGTCCCATTTCTGTTGGTTTGTCATGGAAGTGATTTCACACTTGCACATGCATGTCGTTACTTTGTCTTCATTGTTTACTTTGTCCTCATTGTCATGGAAATTGTTTGTAAGCATACCTTTGTGTAATGTGGTAGATAAAGCAGAACTGTGTACTCTTGAACTCCACCACTTTGGTCTGTTGGAGAATGGCGTGTATAAGGGAGGCAAAGTATGCTATGTTGACAACTGTATTCATGACTATATGTCATTATTGGATTTAAAGAAAATTGGGATAGATCTTGGATACAAAGTTGATATAACACAAAGGGTTACAAACTTAAAAGTTTACTATAAAGGGCATGAAAAAGTGGTAAGCATGTTGTGAATAAGGTTGTAAATGATAGTTGTATTCCAAGGTTGGTTGGGAGCATTTCATCAAATCAGGTATGGGTGTTGTATTACCATGATCCTACTCATAACAACGAGATAAAGAGTGAAGATAAAGAGCAACAACAGCAAAGTGAAGATGTTGGCAATGAAGAGGAAGATGAAGAGGAAGAGGAGGAAAAAGAGGATGTTATTGTTGACAGTGATTATGAATTAAGTGAAGAAGAAAATGGTAATAAAGAGGCTGCATCAAGAGCACAACCAAGGAACGATGCACCAAATGTTGAATATACACAATGTTTTGAAGAGATGAATGAAATGTCTCTTAATGAAGCTACATGGGAGATATTAGATGATGATGAAGATAGTGATCGACTTCCTTATGATGGTGATAGCTCTGGTGGTGAGGAAGATGGTAAAAAAAAGACAATCAAGAGGAAATGAAAGAAGCCAAATTTTAAACAGTTTAGGAAAGAAACCGATTTGAGAAATCCAGAGTTTAGAATTGGAATGCATTTTGCCAATAAGGATGAACTCAAGGGAGCTATTAGGGAGTATGCAATTGTGCAAGGGAGGAATGTTAAATTGGTGAAAAATGATAATAAAAGGATTCAAATAAAGTGTGTAGGTCACACGAAATGCATTTTTATTCTGTTTGCTTCCAAGATAGACAGAGATGAGCAGACATTTGCCATAAAAACTCTCTCCTTAGAGCATGAGTGTACTAGAGTGGACAAACTTAAATATACTAATTCAAAATGGCTATAAAAAAGGTTTGCTGACAAGATTAGGAAAAATCCTGAGTGGGATGTAGGGGCATTCCAGTCTGAGGTATTAGAAAAGTACCATATGAATGTTTCGAGGCATCAGATTTATAAAGCAAAGAGCTTGTCCAAGGTGATCATTGAAGGAAGCTATGTGGAGCAATATGCGAGGCTATGAGACTATGTAGAAGAATTGAAGAAGGCTAACAAGAGTAGCACTGTGATTATAAAGAATAAGATGAAGGGTAATGTACCTGTGTTTGAAAGAATTTATGTATGTTTGGAAGCTTGTAAGAAGGGATTTTTGGCAGGATGTAGACCTCTCATTGGTATAGATGGATATTATTTAAAGGGACCTTACACAGGGCAAGTTTTAACAGCCGTTGGTGTTTATGGGAATAATGGAATGTACCCAGTTGCTTATGTTGTTGTAGAGGTGGAAACAAAAAATAGTTGGATTTAGTTCCTTGAACTTTTGATTGAAGACTTAAAAATTGAGAATGGGAAAGCTTGGGTGTTTATGAGTGACAAGCAAAAAGGTCTAATACTTGTAATTGAGACATTGCTTCCAACAGCTGAGCACAAAATGTGTGTTAGGCATCTCTACGGGAACTTCAGGACAGAGCATGCTGACCTTTCACTAAAAAATATTCTCTGGGCTGTGACAAGAGCAACTACCATTCCCTAGTATGAAGTAGAAATGGACAAGATGAAAGAGTAAGATGAAGAGGCGTAGAAGTGGGTTATGAAAAGACCAGCCAAAAATTGGAGTAGATCTCATTTTGAGCCACATTCTAAGTGTGATATGTTGTTGAACAACCTCTGTGAATCCTTTAACTCTTGCATTTTAGATTCAAGAGACAAGTCTATCTTAACATGTCTAGAAATTATTAGAGTTTATATCATGTTAAGGATTGCTGGTATGGTTTGGAGACATCCAGTTGGGCCTAGGATTGTCAAGATCATTGAGAAGAACAAGTTGGGAGCTAATGGATTCCTAGATTAGCATGTGAGAGCAAATACCAAGTGAGCCACATGTATATGGGAAAGTATGTAGTGGATCTAAAAGCCAAGACTTGCTCTTGTAGAAGATGAGATTTGTGTGGGATCCCATGTTATCATGCTATTTCTTGTATCTTTCAAAAGAAGGCAAATGTGTTTAACTATGCACATAATTGCAATAAGAAATAAGCATACCTAAGTTCATATGAACCTATGGTACACCCAATACCATTCATGGACCAGTGGCAGAGAACTAATTGGCCTCCAATTAAACCTCCTCCATATAAGAAGAAATCTGGAAGACCCAAGAAATCAAGGAACAAAGAACCAACTGAGGTTGAAGTACCTGCTCCAGTTCCTCCAAACCCTTTGCCTTCATATTACAATCCACCACCTATTAAGTTGAGAAGTATTTATGTCAAGACAAGATGCTCTATTTGTGGCCATGAGGGACATAATAAGACTTGGCATGTCAACTAAGGGCAACACATGTATTTGGGTTATATTTTCTTTAGTTTAATTTCCTTTTGTTATTATTTACTTTAATCAGTTTTTTGTTTTTATTATTGTAGGCCTTTCCTAATCAGCTCAACCAAGGAACATTTGGCTCTTCTACAGTCCATGGGGCAGTTTAGGTATTTTAGTTAAAATCTCTTTAGTTTAATTCCTTTTTGTTTTTTAGGCCCAACCAAGGAACATTTGACCCCTTTTTTGTTGTTATTGTTTAGTTTATTTTTGTTTTTTAAGCCCAGCCTAATCAGCCCAACCCAACTAGAGGCATATGGAGAGGTAGAGGTATTACTACAGGAATAGGGAGAGGAAATGGGAGAGGACAAATGCCAAATGGAAAAGGAAATGTAAGTGACAACTCTATCATGCTACTTTGGTTGGTTAATTTGGTCAAAAATTTAATTCATGTACTTTATTTAGTTAATATGGTTCAATTTTATTTTAGGTTGGAAATTGGATAACAGAAATGCCAAACAAGCCATCATCATCACAACCACTCCCATCATCATTACAACCACTCTCTTACACTGGAGCTACATCATCATCATCACAACCACCCAAGTCTCCTACCAAGAGATTCAAGTCTCCTGCCAATAAGCTTAGACCATGGATGTTTTGAAGGCTAACTAGGAGGATGTCTGTTGGATGTCTTTTTTGAAGTAGTTAGATGTGTTTTATGAATGGTTTGTTAGATGTGTTTTTTGAGTCTCTGGGCTGTAACCTAATGTGGTTGTTTTGTATTTGGTACATTTTGGAACCTGAACTGGGTGTTTATGTTCATCTATCTTTATGCTTTTGTTTCACTTGGAACCTGATTTGGTACATTTTGGAACCTGTAACTGGGTGTTATATATGCTGAAGAAATTGTTTTATATTTCTCACACCTCTTGATTGACACCTACTACTATTTGTTTATATCACAATTATCCACTCATGCCCTTTCATCAACAAAATGGAAACAAATTGAATACACCAACACTAATATGTCCACCAAACTTGAACTGAAATTTCATTGCAAAATGAACTACATATCGGTTACATTTCGACCTAATTGATCATAATCTTTTCATAGTTTCCACCCGGAAATGTCAACCAATTGCTCAAGATACAGAGCATCATCATAATCACCAAAAACCCAAGACCCAAGGACAAAAATGAAACCCCCCAAATCTGATTCTCTCTTGATCATTGACCTATTCTTTTCTGCTTGCCTAATTCTCCAACTTTGTACTCCAATTCCTTTTTTTCTCTATCCACCATTTTCAGCTTATCTTCCACTTCTTTCTTCTGTTCTTCTATTAACTTTAGGTCATCTTCCATTGCTCTCATTATTCTCAGCAACCCAGGAATTAGTTCTTTTCCTCTTGCACAAGTCGATGCGTCCAGCCACTCCCAATGATGCCGATTTCCTCTGTTTCTCTACGAAGTATGTTTCATAACATCAAAGCTAAACCCCTCAAGCAACAAAATAAAATTTCACAGATTAACTTACTCGGCTTATCTCACAAGCCTCAAATCTTCTCCCAAGATTTAAATCAGTCCATGAAGTCCAGGTTTTGATATATCCCCCGCACCTGCATAACTTCCTTGCACTAGGGCTCTGATTTGTTGATAAAGAAGAAATCTACAACATTTTTGCGCATGCATTGTGTGGGCTTCCCAGATTTCCTTCGAATTTTCAAAATTTTAACACATCTATTGTTTTTATGTGGATTTCTTCGAATATAAATGGGAATTGGGGATTTATTTGGCGCCAGATTTGACTTTTTTGGAAGGGAAGTTACTTTATATGAGAGGTTGGACATTGTAGACTTGAAAAGACAAATTTGCCCATGAAATTTACACCACATTAGCCAAACTTGACGAAAGGACTACTAGTGCAACAAAACACATACTTGAGTGACCTCTGCAACTAATAATTGAGTTTAGTGACCCAAATGTAACTACGGGTATAGCTGAGGGACCGTTGCTGCGAATAACCCTTTTTAATATATAGTTATTAAATGTTGGTCGGTGAAAGATGAACACATATTCAAGCTCATTCGCAGAAGATATTGAGGGGGCAAAAGAGAAAGAGTGAAGAAGAAAGGAGTTGTATAATGTCATAAAGTTTTTCAAATTATCAGGACTGTGAGTTGCAAATTTTAATCTCAATATAATGTGTAAATCACAACAAATTATACGCCGACGAGAAAGAGAGCTGAAAATGAGGTCAAAGCTCACAGCTGAGAAGTCAACAGCACCTTCAATCTGCCACCAAACTATGTACACAACCAAACCCTTCCTGTAAAATCTAGCAGCCTGCTGCACCTACTTATAAATTCTCATTTTATTTACACAATGGTGCATGTTCTTGTGCAACTGATATTCTCAGGGAATGGTATGGAGTGATACATCGGCTTCATCGCCGTTCATGGAGAAGATATCAACAGGAACACTGGTGCAGTTGAAGAGGCTCGGATCCTTCAAACTAGCATTTGGGGAAACTTGTGAATGATCCAGGAATATCACGATGACGGTGATGTCATCATGGAAATGGCGCCTTACCCCCTTTTCAATTCTTTTTATGTCCTCATATCTCAATTCTCTTTTCCTTGCAGCCTCCTCAATCGCAGCTCTGACCAACCGCTTTGCTATTCCCTGTAGTTAAAATTGAAGCAACTCTTAACATCTTATAATTTTATAGTCAGTTTTATAGATGAACGCCAACACAGATATAAATTTTGCCAGGGACTTACAACTCTTGAATTCTTTGAGACGATTTTAACAGCTGCTTCATCACTCAAATGCTCCCAGAGACCATCTGTTGCAAATATCAAAAACATGTCCTGTGGCTGTAACTTCCGAACTAATATCGAGGGTTCTGCTGTCATAACAGGCCTCTTTAAAGGAACAGGTATACCGAAATGGTGGAAAAGCGGATCTCTGTTAAACTCAGGTTTCTTCAAGTAGACGTCACCAATTGACCTTGACACCTACAAAGGACAGGTTTCATCAGATCACAGGCAGATTAAAATATGAATGAGGTAAAGCAACTACTCTGAAGAATAATACATTCACTTTTACAATATATCTATGATTTATAAACTGATTACCACACAACTAAATTTTCATCGTAAGGGCACTGCTGGAGCATGCATCATCATATCTTTATGCGTGTTTCTGTAATGGGCATGAAAATTTTCATGACTTTTAATTGCTTATGAGAGTGTCAAAAAGGTCACATACACATAACCAGCTCAACTGTGATTTTGACTAGTCACACACTCACAATACCCTAATTTTTAGGTTTTCATGTGCATTCTATGAACCATCACCCCATTTGCTTAAAATACTCAAATTCTTAGCTGGCTGGAAAGTTGCCAAAGAGGCAAAACCCGTGAAGATAGAAGGATATCAATAAACAAAGGGAGAATACCATATCCACATCAAATTGTGGACTTTTCCTTCACAGACATCAAGAAAGAATGATTGTAAGGATCTATTCCTTGAAGAGTTATCTTCAAAACAATGCACCTAAGCAGAGCAGGATCTCATCTTTCAAGAACGAGTTCATGCTTTGGAACAGTATGGTATTACTGCAGGGAAAAATAACATATTAAAGGCAAATCCACCCCATTTATTATACTCATATCACAAAGTTTCACAAAAAAAATTTAGGTGCAGGTGGGGACAAGTTCCCCCAGATTCTAATTCATCATGGAACCAAACCTCGCATTCAGATTTGAAACAACTTACCCTTAGAAATGAAAATCTTTTGAACTTCCCCAAAGAAAAAATAAAATAAAATTGTTAACTTTCTAGTTTAGTACTCCATAATATGGTACATACTGGGGAAAAGCATCAGTACTAACATTATTACCATCATGACAAGACAGTAGACCAAAAATAAATTCCATCAAACTGTTATCAATATAGTCATCTGATATTCCAGGACACATTAAATTTGCTCCTAACATAAGTAAAAATTAGATATGTTAATCAATACAGAAATACGGTCGGGCCAGAGGATCAATGAAGTAAAAGAAGCCACATTTTGTACCTGAATAATGCCCTTAATTCGCCAAACTCCACGAGTGTACACCACAATGTGTGCATCATCAGGGTGAAGATCCTTAACCTCCTTCCTCACTTCCTCCACTGCAACATTGTGATCTGTAGACAATCGCTCTGCCACAACCGCCTGCCCTTCTGATGCTCTCCGGCCAAGAACTGCCCTCGAATCTCCAAGATTAGCAACATATAAAACACCATTTGAAATTGCGCCAACCAAACAACATGAACCTACGGAAGCAATCTGCGGCCGGACAGGCCATGATGTCTTAACCAAGTCCAAGAACTCTTCCTCAGTTGCATCAAATGCCTTCCTTATCACATCCTCTGACAGTCCACCTTGTTCAATTGAAAACTCTGAAGAATAAAAACCAACTCAATTTAAATAAAAACAAAAATCTTTCCCTTCCATCTTGAAGAAAAGTTGTGAACTTTATCATAATAATAACCCAAAGAAAAATACACATCTGATTAATTGATGAAAATATTAAGTCAAAGGAAAAACAATAGAATAAGAACATAATAAAGCATGTTCTATGTTGGTTTGAATTTCTTCAAAGTTGAATAGCTACTTGAGCTAAGCAAATCTGTATGATCTATAAGTCAAGTTGAGGTCTTTTTGGTCTCAAGACATAAAATTCTTCTAGTAATTGAAATGTAATTACTGAAAATACAAGAAAATAAACAGCTAAAAAGTAAAAACAAAAACAGGGGTGGGTGTTTCTGTAGAGCTAGAGGGTGTACTACATACTGTCAAGGAAGGGGAAGAGGCGATTGGTGATGAAGCGAGAAGCTTCAGGGCCACCATGGCCATCATAGACCCCAATATACGTGGCGTAAGGGGATGTGAACACCTGTCCCTGGTCTTCCAAAGCCGAATTGGCTTGAACCACTGCGATCGAATAGTCCCCAGAAGAGTGGGGCTTGAGGTCCATGTGCCAAAGGAGCCCATCTCCACCATCTCCTCCTCCAAAGCACTTCTCCAATGGCCTCCGACACATCTCCAACATCATTGTCCAACCGGGTTCTCTCTGGTTTTCTGGTTACTTGTTAGATTCTCTCACTTCGGTTTTTGGGAAAAACTATGAAAGAAAGAAAGAAAGAAAATGCGTGGGGTTTGGTTTGGTGTTGGTGGGTAAGGATGGGTGATGTTGGAATAAAAAGAGGGACGTGGGGATTCCGTGTTAAAGGGGAATGGAAGATTTCCGGGAAATTTTTTTGGGTTGAGAGAAGGGGAGCGAGAGAGGGAAGTAGGACCGAAGACAAAGACTTTGATGGGTTTTCAATTTGATAAGTCGTATATTTTAAAAAGAGAAACGGGTTTTTTGGTGTTTGGTTTTTGGAATGTGGGGGTTTGAATGATATCCAACGGTTCGAAGTAAGCGGCTTTTGGAAAGTGGTGTTGAGGTGGACGGAGAAAACTTATCTTGTGATTTGTCGGATGAAAGAGAGAGAATCATATTCTTTAGGAATTTTGGGGAGCAAAAGTCTGGTCACGAATATGGATAGATAGATAGAGCTCACAACGCAGGAAATTGGGGATGGAGACCATTTTATTTCATTTTCCCACGATTTATTACAAGTCTTTCTTCTTCTTTTTTTCATTTGACTTTTAATATTTAAAGTGTGTGCAAATATAATCCATAACAACTCTAACAGCCAACGAACAATTTGATTCTTTCTTATTTTGTCCAAAAACCATAATATTTTCGTGTTCCCATAGTACAAGAAACCAACTTCCTCCATTTGTCGTTTGACAAGACAAACAAGAAGGAGCCATTAATTACTCTTTGCATATTGAGGTGACCGAATCACAATTTGTAACATGTTCGTCTTTTAAGAAAATTATGTTTTGCCTAACGATTATCTTTTGTCAAAACAGTGTCATTATCGATAACATGTCAATAACAAAACGTATAAGCATGTTATTTATACATTGTCGATGTAAAATTCGTCCATTAGAAAAGGATGAGTATTCATAGTCTAGCGATGTTTTTTTTTTTTTTTTTTTTTTTTTTTTTTTTGTTTCTAATTTGATTGTTTCCTTTTTCAGTGATTTTTTTTATAAAAAAAAATTGTTGGTTATGAAACTTTTACTTACTGTAAGTTAACAAAGAAAAGAGCGAGGCCCCTAGATCTAATGATTATTCGAATTCATTATTTTAATTCCTTACCTGCTCCAACAAGAGTAAAGAGGAAGTTTGAAAGGAAATGAATGAGAGGAATATTCCCACCTCTCCGACGTTCACACCCAAAAAAAACTCAGTACTTGACCTAAAAAACTGTCGTTGAAGGTCATGAAAACCCTTTGAAATCCTTAATTTTCTGAAATGTTACTGCATGCCTCTCTCCTCATCTTTTAAAATGTTACCAAAGTCTTTCAGATATGTGAGACAAAAAGTCGAAATCAAATAATTGGTAAGACTCTTGGGTATGAATTTAAAATTTGGGGCATTCCATTTGAACAAGGTGAAAGACTTTGGATGGACGTCGTGCTTCAGAAATCCCGCACTTTTTGACCACTATTGGGAAGTCGGTATCTCCCTAGGTGCTGGGAAATTTTTTTTTCTTCGTCCAAGGAGAAATATTTTAGAAAATATTTTAGGAGTGTATTCATAATTCACCTAATAAAGAAACCACTAACCAAAAAAGGTCATTATAATAACGGAGCGATCTAATATTAAAATTAAGACAATTTGGTGCATCCTCACTAACAATCACGCAAGATCGAAGAAACTCTAACATACGCATCCCAATTAAGATGGCAAATTCATATACAAAAATTAAGTATAACATATAGAATTTCTCTTTAGGATTAGTAGGCATATTCATGGAACTAACAAATATCAATTAATAATAAAATTATTTGAGGGATCCCTTAATAGAAGGGGTCTGTATATATATATATATATATATATATATAACAAAAGGCAGAGAATGGAGAAACATTCAAAATACCAAAAAATGCCCTTAGTTAATCCAAACATTAAGAATTAAAATTATTAATTAAATGAAAATAATATGGTAAATTCACACTTTTTCATATTATAAAAATCAAAATTAAAAGAAAATTCAAATAATGAATTCTATTTTTATGGAACACAACTACCCATTATTATTTTTAATTCTAAAATAAATTTAAATATTTTTTTAAAAAAACCTCTCGCAAGCGCAGAAGCACGTGCAGAGATGCTAGTTTTTTATGAATGAAAGAATTCCAGCATAAATTAATAATTTGATTATAAATAAACCATACACATAAAAGTTTCAACAGTTTTACTAAATGTAAGTGATGAAGAGCAGTTATACATATGTTAGTATTTTATATGTTAGAAATGAATGAAAAATAACAACAACGAAAGACCAAATTTAAAAAATATTATTTGGTCAATGAAGTTTTATCACAAATTTGGTGCGTTTAACATTACTTAATTTTCAAAGTCAAAATCTATTATGCTCTTAAGCTCCCAATTGTTTACTTTTTAAGTGGAGCCGTGTTAGACCTTCAAAATCCCAAAACTATAAAAAGAATATATGCATAAAATAATAAAATCTTTCATCTTTTGTTTTTCTTTTCCCATGAGTGTAGTCTTGTAAAAGAATTGTAAATTTGTTGGTAATATAGGGGGGCAAACCCCAAACCAAAGAGAAAGAATTGTAACTTGAATGGTTAAGAATAGTTAGTTATGCACGGTCTTTTTATTTATTTATATGAATTGTACAAATAATAATAAAAGTTTTGCGTTAAGATTTTTCTCAACTGCTGACATGGGCTTATATGTATTTTCTACTCTAGCCCCGAATTCAAATCCCACTCCCCATAATTTAATAAAATATCATTTGTATCAAAGAAAAAAAAATCACAACCCCCTTTTCCCATTCTTTTTGAACTTTGAAGGGACTTCATGAGTCTTTACATTCCAGCTCGCCTCTTCCATTAGCTTTTTCCCAGCACCGCTCTCTTTCTCGTGTTCCCTTGTGGGTTGTGACCGTCACGAAAATTCAAAATAATGCCATCTAAATCTCCAATATCTTAAACCCCACAGCTCCACACGGACCACACCCACCAGAAAAAGCTTCAACACATTCACACTCTAATCATCACAACCACAACTTTGAGCCATATATGCTGCCATGGCATGCACTATCTCCCCCACCCATGCTTGAGTTTATAATTAGTTTAAACATAAATCTTCAAAATTAATCATAAAAATATACAACTAATTAAAATTAAATTCAAAATTAATCAAGAAAGAGAGTAATCTTGATATTGGAGCCCCCATTCCATCTATGGCCAACTACAAACTTGCATTGCATGCTAATGTAATATTATTTCAAATTAAAGCAAACCCAAAAAAGGCTAAAACAAAATGATAGTGAAATAAAGCAAATTTGCAGGCATGCGAGAGACCCTATGATTGTTCTACCAAAGTCAAAGTTCTCATCAGAAAAGCTACAAGCGTTACATGGGAAATCAGTATAGCTTTCTTGATGAGAAGAAAGCTTTTTTCTACAATCTAAATCCCCACCATGGTCCATCAACTTTAAACATGCACAGGAAGAGGAGGAGGAGAATTTGCATGCGACAGCTGCTTTAGCCATTCATACGTTCTGTGATGTGACATGGCCTGCTTTTGCTTTTGCTTTTGCTTCTGCTTCTGCTTATTATTCTTCATCATCTTCAACTCCACCTCTACTTTTTCTTTCAGCATGGCATGCGCAGCCGAGTATTCTGTTTCTGTTCTGCTTTCATTGATGTGACTCGAGCTGCTTCTCCCACTGCTTGATGATTTGCTCTTGACGATCAGGTTATCAGACGCCACAGTTTCGAACGAGCACTTGCAGCCATGAATGCTATCAAAAAACCTCTGTTTTCTCTGCTTGCTCTGTTTGCTCTGTTTCGTGTCCTCCGACTTCAAAACACCGCCGGCGCTCGTGGCGTTGTTGTAATTTGCAATGAAATTAGTGCTGTGGGTGCTGCTAACGCTGCTATTTCGACTGACGGAACTTTTATTGGCGCTGCTATTACTTCGAAGTGCCTTGTTAATGTCCTGCAATTCAATGTCAGGCGTACGGACCAAACCCAGCCTGAAAAAATCCCACATCGAAGAATTATGGCGCCTGCTGCCAGCTTTTTCCAGTATTGGATTTGGAATTTTGATTTGGGCTTTTGGACTTGGCTCTGTGTAGAATTGGTTTCTGGGTCTTCTTGGGCTTCTCCGCTTTGAGCTTGAAGCAATGCCTCTTGTCGCTGTTGTGGTAGTGGTGGTGGTGGTGGAGCTGCTGTTGCTGCTAAATGATGAATTGGGACTGATTCTGCTTCTGCAGCTATTGCTTCTGAACCCGACGCTGCTCGCCGGAGACCGTCTGGTTAAGCCGGAAAAGCCGGCGTCGGAGCTGACTGAGAGGCGGAGAGGGAGAATTTGGCCTTGGAAGAACACATCATCGGCAGCACACATTTTGGTGTCAGCCCAAAAAGAGGTGCCGCGCATTGAAGAACCAAAATCAAATTCTTCATCTTGGGCTTCAATGTTGACATGGGTAGGCTCAGATTTAGTGTTTGGACATTGGGTTTGATCTTGTTTCTTCAAATTCACTGGAAGATCACTTAGTGACACATTGTCTTCTTCTTCTTCTTCCTCTAGTTGCTCAGAGACTGAATCTTGATCCAGTACTCTGTCTTCAGCAGCAGCAGAAATGTTTGTAATTGCTGCAATTGTTGCCATTTCTACAAGCACTGTGATTGTGATAAGAAATTACTAAGCATAAGACAGTGAGAATTTGAGAGGATTATAAGTAGTGGATAGGCTTAGAGGGAGGGAGGAAGTGAGACATGTGGAATATAAAGAGAAGGGGTGTGGACCAAATTTTTTATTTTAAAAAAGTAAATAAAAAAAGGGGTAGGGAAATAAAGGAGGTGGAGTGCCGAAAAAGCACTAAAAAAAATTATTGAATTAAGGAAGAAAAGGAGGCAGGCGACCCAATTGAATAGCGTGTCTCTTTTTTCTTGTTTGGGAGTGAAGAAAGGAACTGTGAACTTTGTGGCTTCTGGGGCCGGCCATTAGCTGAGGGCCAGTTTGTCTCTAGTTTCTGTGTCTATACTCTAATTTTTTAAAATTAAATAAATTGATGGATCTTGCATGCCCAACTCCAAGTGGGGATGGTACAACAAATGTTTATGAATGATGAAAAACATTGGCATGGCAGTTGAGATATTTTTGTTTTGTTGGTGGGTGAAATTTGTACTTCAACGATGCGCAAGTAGCTTTGCCTAATAGAGTAATATAATGGATTTCCCATATATAGATCCGCTCTTGGCTATGAGTGTATTAAGGAGTTTGTAGATCACGTTGTTAAGAATAGTTATCTTTGTATTCGAGGTTGTTTTCGAATCCCTCTTCTTTCAATATCGCTTGTATGCTATTTGAGAATAACTCAATTAATTAAGTTCTTCCACCTCTACTCATATGTAAGCCGAGACTCGAAACTCTCAAGCACCCAATGAATATTTGTGTCAACCTCTATCCCCCAATTGCTTGTAAATAAAAAAAAATATATATATATATATATATATATATCGCTTGTATTTTGATTTAAGAGAACTACAAAAAGCTTATGGTATATAAACAAAAAAGTTGTGTATGATAATTGTGAATGAAACTTTATGGGGTAGATCAAAGAATCCAAGATTGTAACTGTTTTCTTCACCCAAAAAGGAAAAAAAAACACTGTCAATATTGTTGTGCGCTTATCAATCAATAGAAAAAAAACATGGCCTTGATTTGAGGAGCTTCCTAGCTTGACTTGGATGCCCTCGTCGAAGATCTCTTTGTGGATATTCAAGTCAACTATCAAAAGATTGAAAGAAAATTTGTGGGATATCCAAAAAACAAAATAAAAAGTTACACAAAACGTCCCTCTCATTTAGCAGGTACCGTTTAATGTTTCAGGAGATGAAGAGATATGGCAAACGTCTCCTCTCCTCTCCCTTTTGTCTGCTATGTATGTGTGTGTGTGTGTATATATATATATGTTTGATGTTTCCAACTCATGATTGTAATTATAATACGAGTTATGAAATGCTTTCGAAAACAAGAATGTTCTGCTTACTTGAATCATATCTGAAATCCAAAACAAAAACAAAAAGTCAAAGTCAACGAAAACATTTCTATTAGATCTGGACACAAATAAAACACACATGCAGCGTTACCAAATTCAGACTTTAATTGAAGAAAAATAATAAGAAAATTAATTAAGGAACTCCTTGGCGGTTAATAGCTTCGGTGGCGGAGATATCACCCTGAGAGGAGACATTGGCGCCAGAAACAGTGGGGCCCTCGGTGGACCCGGCGCCTCGGCCGGGCTCCACCTGGAGATGGCCTTCCGTTCCATAGGCCTGACGCTTGTAATCCTCCAAGTCATCGTACTGCAGGTACGGACTGTCCTTCATTGGCAACCCTTCCTCTATCTTCCCCTTGGCTTCGCTAGCCCCAGCAGCCGGCTTCCTGTTCTGCTGCTCTTGCGTATTCTCCATTACGAATGTCGATTTTTCTCGTTTATGCGAGTTTGGATTGATTTGCTTCGGTTTCTCTTGGCTTCTGCATGTGTCCTGTTATCATGTTTTATCTCTTGCTCTGCAAGTTTGCCACGTGTAGAGTGTCGGAAACGTGTCTCATTGCTAGGAGTTGCCGGGTTTACGTGGCTAGGTAGCTTCCATCCACGACAACGAAATAGGATAAGCTAAAAAAAGGACGATGAAGTAGGATCTCGGTCCCGGATGATATATGGTGTGGATCAATCTTGCTTGCGTGCGCCAAAATAAAAAAAAAGGTATGTCATTAAATTATGCGTCTTATCGATTGGAGTGGCCCAGATTTTGTGTCTACTCTCAAGCAGTATCGGGTTCCAAGCTGAAATAGTTTCCCTTCTCCCTCCTAACTTTGGGAAGAAAAAAACAGATTCTCTGTCTTAAAAATATACTATTGATTCAGACATGTTTTTGAATTCAACCTTCTTCTCTTACAGTAGAATAATTACAACATTATTTTGTCAAAAAAAGAAAAAAGAAAAAAAAATGATATTCTAATTTGTTAGTGTTTGGAAGGTTTTCTTTGTTTGGACCTATATACATGGGCCGGTTTCACACATAATGTCATGTCACAATGATGTTGGATGTGTGGCTAACACTGGATTCACGTAGACTGAGCCCAACTATATTTTGCCTCTTTATCCATGCAAACCACTCACGTCCAAATTCACAATCCTCAATTCCGAGCAGTCTCGAGGTGAGGAGCCATGCATATACATATTACCAAACAACAACTGTACAGAAAATTCCATTTCAAATTGTCTTTCTTTCTAAAATTCTGACATCCATTGTTAGCTCGAAATTAACATAATCACCACCACATAATCTTACAAGTTGCAACATTTCTTGATTCCTTAACACTCTTTGACTTAAGAAATCAAGCCATTATAATTTAATTTGCCTCCTAATTCCAGCTTATTGCTATTGGGCTTCCTACGATGTGCTTCCCGTCCGACCACTCCACCCTCCCGAAGCTATTCACTGCATTCGCCGGCACCGAACCCACCGCACTAAACGTCACCGTATACACTTTCTTCTCATTCGCCTGACTAAAACTCAGCGTTTCGGGCTCCACCGATATCTTCACCAACTGGCTCTCCGACGTCACACTCGCCTTGTACGTTCCCGGGGGGCCCACATTCGTCAGCGTCCTCGTGTACTTCACCACGTTAGACGACGTCGTCCCACCTCCATATCTGCCCTCGAAGTTCACGGCAAAAGATGGGTAATTTAGATCCCTCACGCTGTACTTCTTTTTCTCGTCGCACGTGTACGATCTCTTCGCCAAACTGTTGATCTCGGTTGCCGAGTAATTCAACGCGCAGAGGAAGTTTAGATAATCGTCCACCGTTAGATCATAGACCAGCCCCGGATTGAGGGCCGATATAGGGTCTACGTGTCCAGCGCCGTGATCGAACGGCGTGGACGGCTTTCCGGTCGCCACGTCCTGCAACTTCTGTCCGTTCTTGTACGCTGTATACGCGGTGGTCATAAGCGCCGATCGAATCGCCGCGGGGCTCCACTCCGGGTGAGCTCCCTTCAGCAGCGCCGCTAGCCCGCTCACGTGCGGACAAGACATTGACGTCCCCGAGATAATATTGAACGCCACGCGTCTCGCATCGATTGCCAGTCCCGTGGGGCCTATAGCCCCGGACCACCCAGCTAGGATGTTGACACCTGGAGCAACAATATCGGGTTTCAGTACATCCGGAGTGACTGAATTCGGGCCCCGAGAACTAAATGCCGCAACTACGGGTGAAGGCTGGACCCCAACTTTAGTCCCCTCGAACAATATCGTGGCGGTCGGGTTCGGATCCTTTAACAAATAGCTCTTGATGACGTCGGCGTTTTGCTGACCCACCGACGTGGCCGGTAATAAATGAGAGTCCGCCACCAGCTCCTCGCCGTTGGCGGCGGTGTTGGCCAATATCATGCCCACTCCTCCGGCAGCCTTGACCACCGCTCCTTTTTGGACTCTTGCGTTGACTCCACGGTCGCACATCACTATTTTCCCCTTCACTTGTTCTGGAATTAAAGTCCCCATCATGCATAGATTTCCTGACGTGGCGTTGCTCGCGTTACCGGCGTAAACAAACGGCGTCAAGGCGGTTGGGGCTGCGTTGGAGTTACCGCGGTAGAGTGAAACGCCCGAGAAGTTTTTACCGTTGCCCAGGCTGACGAAAGCCGGGAAGTCCCGATCCAGTGTGCCTGCTCCAACTGTCGTGATCCATGGAGCCGAGTTCGACAAGCTGTAGGCACTGGGACCCGCATTTCCGGCAGAGCACGAGATTAAAATTCCCTTCTCCATCGCCGAGAAAGCTCCGATTGCCACGCTGTCACGGAAATAGTCCGACATTCCGCCGCCAAGCGACATCGAGAGAACATTCACGTTGTCTGCAATGGCCTGGTCGATTGCCGCCACAATGTCGGAGCTGAAACAGCCGCCGACCCAGCACACCTTGTACGCGGCGATTCGGGCGCGAGGGGCCATCCCGCGTGCGGTTCCTGGGGCATAGCCGAAGAGGCTAGCGCCGGAAACGGCCGACCCTGCGGCGGTTGATGCGGTGTGGGTGCCGTGGCCGTCGTCGTCGCGTGGGGATTTGGATTCCTTCGAGGTTTCGATGGGGCCCACCGTGGCCTCGTAGCCTTTGGCGAAGTATCTGGCCCCGATTAGTTTCCGATTGCAGTTTGAAGAATTGAAGTTGGTACCCGATTCACACGCGCCTTTCCAGGATCCGGGTACGGGTCCGAGTCCGGTGTCGTCGAAGCTCTTGCTTTCGGGCCAGACGCCGGTGTCTAACACTCCGATGATGACGTCGCTCTCCGAGTTGGACTGGGGGATCGTCTCGGTGGTTTGGCCGAGTCCGAGGAATTCCGGGGTCCGAGTCGTGTGGAGCTCGTATTTCAACTCGGGAAGCACGGAGAGCACTCCAGGTTGGGATTGGAGTGACTCGGCTTGTTCGGGGGTGAGCTTGGTGGAGAAGCCGTGGATGGCATTGCTGTAAATATACATCATTTCGGCCGAGTCGGAAACCGTTTTGAGCGACGAGTCGTACCAGTGAGTGTGGTGCTCGAAGCTCGCCGGCATTTCGGATTTGGCCATGTGAACGATGTAAGTAGTGCTTGCAGTCATTTTTGGCTTCGCAACGTCGTTTTTGTCCACCGCCGCTGCCGTGGATAGATGGCAGAGACCCAGAAGGAAAAGAAGCATAACAGAGGTAGACATGGTGCCCATTTTGCTTAGCCAACGAGCCTCCCAAATCTCACTATATATTCACTCTGTTGTTTCGGAGGGAGAAGAAGAACCTTTTATTTAATATACATAAGAGAGAGAGAGAGAGAGAGAGAGAGAGAGAGAGATAGTGTTGCTGTGTAGATATTAGGAGGCACAGTGAAATCATGGGAAAAGGGCAGAGAAGGGGGAGAGAGAGAGAGAGAGAAAGGAAGGGACGGTGGGTGGTTGTCTGGTTCTTCGAATGATTGCGTCGGGACAAAAATGTGAGTGAGTGGAAACAGCTTATTAAGCTTTCGTCACATGCATTTCAGGCTTTTGTTTCTTTTAAGTTTTACCCATGCCTTGTACACTAGTAGCTGGTGGTGTAGACAACAGATTATAAGATTAGATTCTCCCACTAGTCCCACTTAACCTTGGGCTCAGTTTCTCTTTGCAGATAAAGGCCGTCAAGTCTGAACCTTTTTCACACCTAAATATCTCGTGTTAGGGACACTCGCTCACACGCTCATGTGAAGATATTTCCGGTCAATAGGTTTCGAGACTCACTTACATCAACAGTTCACAACACTCTTCATAACAACGTGTGTGTGAACGGTTGTAAATAGCATTTTCCAGTCATATAATATACCGATGTTGTGGGATCCAGTTATGCACAACCAATTACCCAATTTCCGAACTACAGTCCAAACTTATCAATTTCATCACAGATTGTTGAGCAGCACCGCGTATAATGTCAAAAAAGTTGTTGAATTTTTAGGTGTTTTGGGCTCACGGGTGTCTCTCTATTCTACTTTATCTACTCTCTTTCTGTACTCTCAAGTGATAGTTAAGGCTAGTTCGAGAGTGATTATGAAAAAACCAATAATCACTTTTATGAAGTCATTTATCTAAATAATCACTTTAAGTGACTTTACGACGAAGTATATAAGAAGCGCTTCTTCTTAAAATCACTTAAAATCACTAATGATTTTCTGAAAAACCACGTGAGACGTGTTTCTTTCTAAACCAAATTCACGTCCAAATAAACCCCTAATAATGATTTATATTGTACATAATTCCATCAAAGTTTGTCTTTTGGTGGTTGAGTTTTTGGTGAGTACCGGCCAACCAACGCAAACGTTTCCCACCACGCATGTAATAAACAACCAAGACAAGAAATCTCACTCACGGGTTTGTTTATTGTTCGTTCATTCATTGCTAAAAAGATATAGAGATAGGGACATAGCCCCCATTTATCTATCTTAAAAAAACAAGCTCATTATTCTGATTCATAAACCTAACACACATAATTCTACCAAAAACTTTATACATACTTTAGCTCTGAATTTATGCCATTGTGGACCTAAAGGTCACGTGCACCCCGTAGTGGAAATGGACAGCGAGATTGGATATAAAAATAACGGAACAAACTGGTGAGATGAGGAAAGTAATTAAGTAAGGCAAAAATAAATGACAAGCGTCAGATGTGATTACTCTCATCTCTATCTTCGGAGAAAGGGAAGCGTCCTTGTTACCCTGTTTGTGCGGCAGCTTTGTTGCTTTCTCCAACACTCCAGCTGAAGCTGCCACTGCAGACCAGTGGATTTATTAGGGCAGTCAGTGTGCATGGTGGTCTGATTATTAAAGTAAGGACAATGCTCTATCAGTCAATCTCATCCGTTGGTTGGGATCTATAACTATCTAAACCTACCACTTTTATTTAATTAAATCAGGATTTCCAGTCTTTTATGATTTTCCTTTTTTGGTGGTCAAATTCCAGTCTTCTTGTACATTCATCACATTCGGAGTTGAACCATCTATTAAATTCCTAATTTCTATAAAATAAAAATGCAGTGTGGTTTTTAAAAAATAAAAGCGATATTAGGGACGAAATTTTCAAACGTAAAATTTGATCACGTATGTAATTTCTTAATCGCTTGAACTATAAAGTTATTATAAGAATTTTCATTTTCATTCCTATAATACACAACCATTCAATTATATATCTGTAGCCTATACTGTAGAGAATTGAATAATACCACGAATCCTTATAAAAAATATTTGAATTGTCTCCAGTAAGATAGATACAAAGATTAAAGCCCTTGTGACTTGAATTTGTCACACATGTCATGTGGGTTGAAGCAAATAATATTTTCTGTACCTTCCATTTCCCGACAAACATCTCTCTGCCGGTGTTGTGGCACTATTATTTATTGAAAACCACCAATAGTATAGCTACACAAATGATTAAATATTTCATATTCAAATGGAAGATTAGGATTGATTATTTGCTATTCATGACTAAATTATATAAAGGAGGTCCATTATTATTTTGTAGTGACAAGAGAAACAAATATCTGAATTCACGGCACCATTATCCAGATGGACAGTCTTGTCTTCTTGTTGGTAATTTAATTAGATTGTCTTGTCTTGTCTTTCGATGTCATCAACTACCTCGAAGTAAATGATATTATGAAATTAATATGGATTATTTATGATATTTAGAAGGATGTGACTGAAGTTCCCAACTGCAGGCAAAATTGAATGTATAACCTAATTCATTTATATAAAGTTACATTGGGTTTTCATCACAAAATGATTCGTGAAGTTACGAGACACTAATTTTTGTTTTATCTCCATCACCAATGAATGAGTAGGCAAATCATCTTTGATGTGTTATATAAGCATTTTCTTCTTCGAAAGGGTAGGCAAAATATACATGCGTCGTTTTGCATACTATTTTAGAGATGCTCTTAATGATCGACATAATTCTTTATATTGTGTCGAGAAATACCTGGCATTCGTGTCAACTCACTTTTCTTAAAGAGTTAACACGACACGATACGATAAGAAACCTAGTGGAAAATGTCAAACAAGAACACGACTCGTTATAATTTGTGAATCACACGATACAATCAGTTTCACTTGTTAAGAATTTATATTTAAAAAAATGAAAATTGAAAAGAAAAAAAAACTACGTACAGAACCACACCTTTTCCTCTTTCTATCCTCCTTCCCCAATTCATAAACTTCCATTAATGACACAATCGGTGAGAGAGAGAGAGAGAGAGAGAGAGAGAGAAGAACAGAAAAGAAAGCTATGTTTGGTTTTTGAGAAAATTAATGAAAAGAGAAGAAACTTGAGAGAAAGACAGCGGGAGATTTGAGGGAATGGGGGAGAAAGAGAAAGATAAGAAAGAGAAGGAGAAAAAAAAATATAAATTTACAAAAATGCCCATAAGCTTAACGGGTTAATAGGTATTTGAAAATTTACACAACATGACATGTTAGCTTAACCACATGATAACTCGGATCCGAATACTGAAATTTTCGTACGAATTCATGTCGTGTTAACAGGTCATGTACAATATTGCAAGGTCACTGACTGAATCAATCCCTGCACTGGGCTGGATCAAAAACTTGGGCCGAGGTTTCAAATCACGGCCTTAGGCCCTTATGAGCCTTACCCTCTTTGTGGGGCCTAAGGGGAGAAATTAGGGTATAAGCACATTCCCGTAGCCACTCATCCACCACCCTCGATCAACCCCCAAAATAAGTTATAAAGTATAATCCCAACGGACCAACCCCACCCCATCGCCCCCTAATTGGAATGAGTGACCAACATCACTGGAGAAATGAACAACAAAAAACACAGAAAAAAAGAGGAGAAAATGGGAGTGAGTTCTTAAAAAATGTCATCAATGATAATCGTTGAAACTTGAAAAAGAAAATTGAAATTAGAATCCATGCATCGCTGGTGCCACGTGTCAAGACCGGACCATTCACTACCTCTAACGAACGCGCAGCGAGCGGCACCTGTCAACTTCCATACACTCCTCAGTCTCGGTGTGCCTCCCCAAACCGCACCTTCACTGTTCCTCGCTCAATGTCTCAGCTGCTCCACCATTTCCAAAATTTCCAAAATTCCCACATAAACAAGTAATATTAAAATATGGCTTCTCATCCCGGAGATTTGCTTCGCCGTCGTCCATTTCCTCTGCTTTCAATTCGACCAAATCCAAGGTGTTATCTCTTATTTATCTTCAATCAGAGTACTGGAACTCGGTGGTTCAGTGGCAGAACCGAGTCAGCTCGGGCCGAGTTCACCTCAGAGAACGCCTATGAGGTCTTAGGCGTTTCAGAAACCAGCTCATTTGCCGAAATCAAAGCGTCTTTCCACAAATTGGCGAAACAGACTCATCCGGACCTCGCCGAGTCCAAGAACGATTCCGATGCTTCTCGCAGATTCGTGCAAATCCTCGCCGCCTATGAGGTTGTCTTCAATTATCTGATTTTAATTATTCGATTTTAAACTCATTTTCATCTACTTTTTTTGGTTATGATGAATGAACATTACATGGTTTGGGAAGTGATTATACTTAAATTTTCATTCAAACGAAAAAAAAAGTCTTGAAATTTATAATTGGATTAGTGAAAAAGGAATTGGGGTTTGTAAACTTTGTATTATAGCTAGATTAAAAAACTTATGTTTGGGAGAACTTTATTGCTTGGATTCTTAGAAGAACAAATAGGATGTTTACTGCAATTTCCGTGTACCAACTGACACTGCAGCTTGGCATGCTGCGGGCATCACATGAGTCCGTGTAGGCTGTAGGAAATGTACCATATAAATTGCCACTTCAGTTTGTTTTGTAAGAAAGAATAAAACTTTTGGTATCTCTACCATTAAAATGGAAGAGGCTACAAATAGAAAATTTACCTCTTTTTCCTCCACCAAAAGAAAAAAGTCTCTTAGCAAACAAAGGGACAGACAAAAATGAAATTATCCAATTTATCCTTTCTTTCCTAAACAGCTCGTGCCGTAGTCTAAAGCAATGGAACAATGAAGGAAAATATGGTCAATACCCTCAGTATCTTCTTTGCACATGATGCACTAATAAAGTGATACAAACAATAGGCCTTCTTCTTTGAATAAGATCGTAGGTATTTACCCTTCTATGAGCAATCATCCAAAGAGGAATTTACAAATTACAAGGCAAATACAGGTATTCTGACCTGACTGCACAATCGATAATGGATTGCAGATTCTTTCAGATTGCGAAAAGAGGGCCCATTATGACAGGGACCTGTTATCTCAGAGAAATTTTATGCAGAAAAATTCTGGGTGCGGCATGACATTGCACATGTACAAGCGTCATCTAACTACATATAAGCGGATGGAAGTTGTTGAATGGTTGAAGTGGTATAGACTTGCTATAAATGATGTGCTGTCAGAGAGGAAGGTGGTTGTTGGAACAGGTTATTTTGATGTTCTTGAGGGAGATTTTTATTCAGCCATACATGCGGCGTACTATGGCCCTCTAATTGAGTCTATGGACCTTCTTCCTGACTGTTTTGAAGCTGAAGAGAGATCTGTGTATGAAACTCCAGAGGTGCTGCATTTGGTTTCAGGCCGTGATCTTTTTGGGATGGTCTGCCTGGTCAATATAGTTCCAGAGTTATCATCTTACAGCAATAAGAAATTAAGTTATTCCACATCTGCTGGTTTGGGGATTTGTCAATCTGTTCAGGACTTGAGCATCTGCATGAATTCTGGTGGTGTTGATGATGCTGGAAATGCTCATGTGCGAACCTGGGATGTTACAGATGAAACATCAGATGCATATAAAGATTTAGAATTGCATATATCTGGGAGGGTGGTTGCTACAGCCACCAGAGCCCCTCCAAAAAGCTACTCTGATGGGATGCAGAATGAAGAGTCTGATCACATTCATGTATTTCTGAGCTCTAATGAAAATCCTGTCCATACCAGCGAAGGGTTTACTGAAGATTCTTTTTCAGGTGCTGCCGTTGGATCGAGGATTCTATTGGGAACTATAACCGGATTAGGGACTAGCTCAGAAGAAGGGTCTTGCCTTGTCTACAATAGCAGTGGTACCAAAACCCATGTGATTATGAAGCATAGAACATTGCTGGTTTGTAAACCTGGTTTTCTTAAGTTCTTATGCTCTTTGGCTTTCATCCTTGTTGATACAATTTCTTGCTTAAAGTTTATATATTGTCATATTTGATTAGAGGGAAAATCTGCAGGTTCCAGATTCTGCATGATACTCCGCAATTTCTTGTATATACCAGTGGTGCATATTCTAAGATGCACTTGCACTGACATATGATCGCCAATAGTTCTTTAAACTAAAACGGATTTGGTGTTAGTGATGATTAACTTTTTCTCATATTGCCTGCATAAATATAATATTCTGACATGACTTTCATTATAGGGGGTTCATTTTGTACAAATGCATATCATTGCATGAAGCATCTTGTTAAGAACCATTATTGGTCACCATAACTGCCAGCCTGAAATTTTGTTATTGTCAGTGAAATATTTCTGTTTGTGTGATTCAAATTAGTTAATCTTATATTTATATTTTTAACATTTATACAGGTGAAACACATGTTTTGGTATGAATTGGGAGAAAAGGTTTCTGTTTGTGAGTGTAGATGCAGTAGAGCCCGGTTACCACCAAGCAAGTAAGATGCGACATCTGTATGAAAGCTTCACTTTAATTTCAGTAAAGGATTCATTCTTATACTTTATTTTCATGTAAATATGCCTCCATGTTATTTCTTCATTGCAAGAGCACACTATTGCTTTGTCATGTGTAATTTCTTTCTCTTCATAATTGTGTGTTAAATTTGATAGTTTTGGGATCACCAGACAGTTGTTTGTAATGTTTATCAAAACATGCAAACATTTTGCTACCATTGTTATTCTTTATGTGGTTCTTTTTTTCTTCTTCAGTTTTCTTAGAGTAATGTGATATTACTTTCATAGTTATAAATCTACTTCTCTGTTCTCAAGTGAGACTGTTTTACATAAGCTACCCAAAAAATTGTTGGTTAGAGTAATCCTGTTAGTCCTATGTATATCATATGAGATTAGTCCAACAGATTGTATCATTAAATAGTTTTCATAACTAGCTTATGCGAACAGATTTTGGCTGTTTGAGCCTCGCTGTGGCGTGCATGATATAGGTGGTTGGTATATTGAAACTTTTGGTAGAGATAAGAAAGGCCGGATGTTGCCATCACAACGGTATTGGGATGGCTTTGATGCAGGCAAACAATTTGAACAGTAAGTAGGTCATGTGCTTTGAGGTTGAGCTCTTTTTCATTATTCACAGTTTTTCTCAACTCTAGTGTTTAATTACTTTACTATATAGAACAGGAATTTTAATTTTGAACTTGTTTGGCATTTATGTTCAATTTGTGTGAATTAGATTAACTTATACTGTAATTTAATGAGTTTGGAACACATGATGTTTGATGTTTGGTTCTAAGCATAATAATTCATTACGAATTAATTCAATGAATTCAATTGCAAATGAGGTGAACCCTTTTTCCATCTGTTTCCAAACTGTGTGTTAAGGGTTAAAATAAAATAAAATGAGATCCGGTGAATCTTATAATGGCTTGAAAAATGTGTTCAAAGTGAAACCTCAGAATTTATTTTCAAATTTAGTGTTTTTATTTTTTTATTAAAATTTTCTTTATGTGTTTCTTGTCAAAAGCCAGCATTGTGAGTAATGGTGTTGTCTTTAGGTGTTTATTATTTTCAGGGGGCTCTTTTGGTGCTTTAATACCTTTTGAATACACTTACTATCCATTTTATGGTATATGCAGGAGACTCCATCCTGCAATGTATCTTCTTGCTCTTGCATATCGAACTTTGGATCTTGAAGATGCAAAAAGAAGGAAAAGTGCATTCAGGGATGTTGTTGACAAACGGATTTTTAAATTTCTCAATTGGTGCAAAAGACTTGTTTAGGAGGTATACTAGTTGGGGAACTACACGCCATGGGTTCTACAGCTCTCTTGCATGGTAAATGCCTCTTTTTCTGAGATCCAAGGATTCATCGTTGATTTTGCTTTGCTCTAATCAGGGTGTCAGATTGCTTACACATCTGCAATTAGTGCAAAAGCAATGGTCCTGTATCCTGTTATTAGTTTTCACCATGATGATAGCATACAGTCGAAGGTCAATTGTCTAGCCTTTGCGGAACTTTTTTGGGAGAGATATCATTTGGGGCTCTCATACACTATAATTTGGTGTAGCAATTAGCATTCATGATCACAAATGGCTCTTGGCATCTTTTTGAAGTACAGCTATTTAGACTTTAGAGCTTGCAATCGGTGCTACAAACTTGTTTGTAAGGGATATTGCTTGTGGCTTCACACTAATTTGGCTGAGCTATCTGCCGTGGTAGAATATGCTTGATTTCTGACGTCAGAGGCTTTGTTGTTGATTTCATGCAAACCCCACTAATCAAGGTTGTTTGGATACCAAGTATGGCTGGCAGTGACTGGTGTTGAAGAAGATGACCTTTCATCCTGCTATCAAGACTTGTAAAGATTATCATATGGATATTTAGGAGTGTCTAGTTGTTCCTGCAGCTGTTCTCAGGAGTTTCTGTTTAGGCATGGAGAGTATGCATTATCTCAACTTCATCAGTCTTGAGATTGAAGACTTATATCTTCTTTTTCAGGAAGTTCATTTGGCTAAAAGTGTTGAGGTGGTAGTAGATAATGCGGAAGCAAACCAATGGTATTTTGATGTGTCTCACGTAGCTATGATATATATGTATATTCCTGGTTTTTAATTTTACGAGGTTCCACGTGTTTATCATGTATAGTTACTATCTTCTTTGAAAAGTTGGTAATTTTTCCTCTTCCATTAATTGCATAATGTACAGCAAAGTAGTAAATCAGACATGATGTGCTCAATTTTTGACACGTCACCTTATTTATGCGTGTGCGTTCTACATCATTTCATTCTTTCATGCTTTGTTTATCTCTGATTTTCTAATAATTTGTTCTCCTAATATAATGAGATAGAACCTTACATTTTTGCTGTTTAAGTGTACAAATTACAAAGCATAGTTGTAGAGAAAATTCTATTTGTCAAATGCTTTTACAGAATTTGTTTTATAAAATTAGGTGGTGACTAAGATGGCATGCCACCATATCACACTACCTCCGCCCTCCCCCCATGTATTTGCCAATGCTAGTGGATTTTCCTTAATGGATATTGCATTGCCTTGCAGGCCACTACTTTAGTTTGTAAAACAATTTTGTATATTATGATATGGAATTTCATATGAATTATTCTTTTCCTTTGTCTTTTGCCCATCACTTAAGTAGATCCTCCCATTTGCAGTACTGCCCACCAGCTAATGCACGATAAAACCTATCTCTGCAGTAGACTGGTCTTCCATCAGCAGCCTCAGCAGCGGCTGCTGCTAGATCATCATCAGACCTCACGTCCGTAGGCAATTTTAGCAACTCCTCTTTTCTGCAAGATTAAGTAACATTGGAGAACAAAGTAGAAAAAAACTTATATGTAAATAATTGATCAGAGGGTTGCAATCTCTATTTATCTATAAAACCTTATGTTGAACTTTGTGCTGATCTTTGAGGCGGAAACATTTGATGAGTTATCTTTTATGCCAAATGTGGTGTGAATGAAATCCTCCACCGGTGTAGCAAAGATAAACAGCAACACTCCTGTGACAAGTAATGCCCCTGTTCCAACTAGAGTCTGTTTCAGCAATTTGATGACGGGTTTAACCTGCTTGCATAAATTTTCAATTTTTCATATGAATCTCATAATTCTAAGGATGAAGTTTATACATGGCAGCTCACATCTTTTGTAGTGCCTTGAAAACTAAGGTGTGTGCATCTGTGCATTTTGTTTTTCTTCCACGTCAAAATAACTTTGTTTAGCATGCATGCATCCTTCTCTGGGATTGTATATTGATAGTTGGCATGCATTTCAAGTTCCAGTTGCTAGTACCTTGTAAGAGCCCAATAGTCTATCACGAGCCAAGACCTACAGGAAAAATTTTAGGTGTTAGTTTTCAGTGGTGAAACCTTACACATAGATGGTTCCTGCATTAATCTGTATGGGTAATAGAGGGAAGACGAAGGTTGATCTCATGCCCTCCTTCTGTACCATATTCATTCTGACTGTTCACTCAACCGGACAACTCTAAGAATAAGCTGATCTTGATTTATGGTAGCAAAACTCTTAACTATGGGAAACTCCTATTTGTTTTTTCTGAGTCTCAAATTATGATCAGATTCACTTAGGTATGCTGCTATCATTTATTCAGTGGTTGGCCACAAGATGAAATGGTCCGCCATAGCAACGGGGTAACAAGAATTGTGACAGGACAGGTATTGTGGAAATACTTATTCTTATTTTAGTATAAGTACTCTCTTTTACTTGACGTTTATTTCTCTTAGTAATCAAATGATGAAATTCATTAGGATCATCATGCTTTGTTGATATCTGCCTAAATTATGGGTTGCCACAGGCCTAGATGGTTTTAATACTTATTCTTATTTTAGTATAAGTACTCTCTTTTACTTGACGTTTATTTCTCTTAGTAATCAAATGATGAAATTCATTAGGATCATCATGCTTTGTTGATATCTGCCTAAATTATGGGTTGCCACAGGCCTAGATGGTTTTACATGTTTTTTTTTCTTTCTGTTCAATTGGATGTGTTTTTACCTTGATAGATTCTTCTCTTTTCATTCCCATTATGTAGGACACGGACCCTGATTTTTTTAATTGTTTAAATTTCTGAGTGTACCAGTTTTAGATACATTCAGATTTTCACCTTCTCTGATAACCATACTTAGTTAATATCTCATAGATTATTCTCCATGACATGCATTTGCACATATACACCACACATATATACACAGTCGACTATCAGAAACCTTGTTTCAGTATTAAGCTCTAATGATATGCCACAAATTCGTTTCCACAGCATAATCATAATTTCGAGGTTTTGATGTAGAGAGGCAATATATGCATAAACATCAAGCCTCATGTGATTAGTTAATTCTTTTGAATGAATTTTATCATTTACTGAATATTCTACTTAGCCTGTTTCAGTTGAATACTTGAATAAGATGTGATTGAACTTGGAAGGCTAACTTGTCCAAGACGATTTCATCCTTGTTTCTTATTAACTGAGAAAGGATGAGGTTAAGGGTGCTAACCTCAGGTGGCTTTACCCACATTTGTCCATCATACCAGCCACTCTCTTCGTAAGGTATGACTGCTGATAGTAGTCGATCACCAACATAACTCCATCCCTGCAATAGGAATGATAATACGGTGTATCAAACAAATATCAAGCATGAAAATTGCTTGGAAGTAACATTCATTCGATTAAAAGATTAAATTGTTTTTTTTTCCCATTGCTATTATTTTTGGGAGTGCCGTTCATTTGTTTCATGGAATCCTTACATACTGGGGAACCTGTACATTAAACAAGTATGTTCTCTTGTATTTGGGACTGGAAACAAATAATATATATTGTGACCAGTAGAATTTAGTCCATGGTTGTCAGTATCATAACAGACCATGCAGTGGTTTTCTCATATAATATTGAAAGTTTTGGCTATGAGCTTTTGCTAGTGCTCAATGTCAAACTTCCACTCATGCACTCCAGTAGTGATTATAAGATGAAGTAAGCTGAAAATAGTACCAGATAAATTCTTAAGACGATCAACGATACAACAAAAAGAGTTCCAGTTCCGGCAGCTAGCGCAAATTTTAGAGGATCCTGCAAGGTTGGAACAACCGGAGTAAAGACAAATGAAATACCTCTTGCTGGTGCTGATATGTGCTTCTTGTTTAACTTTTTTAGTAATATGCCAGTGGATCTGTGTGTGACTTTGCTGACCGTTTGAGTATAGTCTTAGACATTTGGAAGCACGAGATACATTTCTCTTCTAGTTTCTGAAAGACATGTTGGTCCGGAGACATTAATTTTATTTATTTTTTTTCTGTACACTACTGCTCTATATAAAGTATCTGGCCATATCCACATATTTTTTATTTTGACTTTAAAACATTCAATATCTTACCCTTGATGGATTAAAGCTTGCAGCTGCAATAGGCACTCCTAGAGTTGTGAAAGTTACCAACCACAAACCTCCAAGACGAAGGAGGAAAGGCCCAGGTCCCAGTTCACCCCACGAGTATAAAACTCCGTCCTTCAGAGATGAGTACTCATTCACCTATTATGGAACCAAATAACTGTAAGTATGAATTTTCATGACATATTGCTTACAAGAAATAATGTGGGGGAATCTGTTTGAATCTGCTTCCCTTTCCCTTTTCTATTCATTTTATTTTTGGGCCAATTGCTGGGGTGCATAATAAGGGATGGCCCTGACTTTCCCTCAAAACCTCCTCTTACCCTTCTGGGATTCGAACACCTTTTCAATCCCATGACTTAAAGTGGGCATAGGTACTACTTGGCTATAAGAGCCATTGTTTCCATGGCATATGAAGCATTTCACTCACTATTCATGATGCCTAATTTTCCTTGTTATTTCTTTTATATTATCTGATTCGTATAAGAAAACTGAAAAACTAGATTTGTTGTCACAGGGTTTCTTCTAGAGGGGTAGTGATTATTACCAACTGGACCTAGCTAAAGACAATGGATCCTGCTGAATTCTCATTCAATGGATAAGTTCATCTAATTTGTGTCGACCATTGAAGAAATGGGATTGCTGCGGAAGGTACACAGAGAAAGTGAAAACATACCGGCCTTTGTTCATAAGGAACCTCCATTTCTGACCCGGGATCCCAACTCTGGCCACGGAAACCACTCGTTTCCCCACCTGCCTCATCTTTCAAGGCTTTGACAGAAACCCCCTTGGTTAGCCTTCGAGCACTGCGGTATTGGATCAGCCATGAGCTGGAGCTGCTACCGACCTTCACTAACTTGACCTGTGGAGGACTATAAAGCGGAGAGCAATATACATCTGCCCGGAGCATCTATTTCCCCAAGTTGAACTGAACCAAGCGCAGTTTAGGTGTACTCTGAATTTCTCTGTTCAACTGGCATGAAGTTGGGGAAAGAGATGAGTGAGGATTCAGCTCTCTAGTTAAAAGACACGGCTGTGTTTTTTCAAGGACCATGCATTATTTACGTGGAGGAAAACAACTGATCGGAATTATTTTTGTAATTTACTTGCAAGGAAAGGGTTTGTTTGGAGGGTGACCCGAGCCAGGTGGACAAAATGTGTGATAATTAAGGACTTGTATTTCATGGGTGGGACCACTCAATTGAACATGTGTGCAAGCCTCTCCTTTGTGTGTGTACTTTTGGACCGTCTATTATGTAGGCTTGTAATTTAGATTGTCCAAATGCCAGGGCCTTCGGAGATTTATTATTGTTATTATTATTATTATTATTATATTTTTTGTGTGTGTGGAAACAGAGTGTTGGGGGGTGTTGATTGTGCAAATGCAATGTGGAATTCGTTACCTTCCACGCGCTTTTGTGTGCAATCCTTGGGGCCAAAGTCCGGACCCAACCGAGGGAGAAAAACCGGGGAGTCTGCAGTAAAAAAACAAACAACAAATAGTCCAAATCCACCCAAATAAAAAAGGCTGTCTAAAAGTAAAGAGACGTTTTTTTTGGGTCAATAGGTAAAAGACACATTTGTCACAGTAAAAAGTGAAAAGAGAATATCCACGAACGATGAGAACGGCAAAGAATTGAGAGAATATGATGCGACCCCGGTGACACTTAGGCTACCATTTTTCTTTTGTGGGTTAGGCCAAGTGTTATTTCTTTCATCATACCCTTTTTCGTCATGTCATTTTCTTATTGATTTCCTCCTCTTTGGCCATGGTTTTTCAATATTCACCCCCATCTAAAAGATTGTAACTTCTCTCTCTCTCTCTCTCTCTCTCTCTAGAAAGTCTAAAAAAGTTGTGTAGAACGGTATTTAGTGCCATCTTTTCAGGAGTAGAAAAGATTGGGGGTTCTATTTCTAGTTGGAATAATGAAGGATGGCCCTTTTCAGAACAAGTGAGAATAATCACAACGAAGAAGGTAGAATTTGAATTTACAAAGCGAAAGTTAAAAAAAATATTTAAAAAAAAGAAAGAAAGTTGTAAAACCATGAAAGCCAAAGGACCGCCTTGGGAAGAATCTATTTATCCACTTTGTCAGAGACAATTCTGTGGGTTATGACCTTGGATTTGAGCACTTTGCAAAACAGGGAAGTTTGCTCCCCCGACCAAAATATATTCGTTGTACCCATTGGATTCCAAATCCACTAAGATTGACTACACCCCCCGGTAATTTGGTTCCAAAAATCTCAATCTTCTTTTTTTGGTCAGATTACAAAAATCTCAGTAGTTTTACGCAAACTCCCGCCGTGCTGTGCGCGCAATTAGAATTTAGAACACGCTTGTTTACAGTCTTGACAAAGACTCTCTGCAATCAAGTCTTTGATCGACTGTCGTTTGTCAAACGCAAAACAAAAGCACAAAAATTTACAGGCGAGAGAGCAAGTAGAAGCCACCAATCACACCACCATTGCCACCTGCATTTGAAGATAAATTGAAATTACAATGAGAGCCAAAAGCGGGAAAGGGAATTGGATCTCCAAGTTCAAGTTGAAGTCCAAACTTGGGTTACCAACCACCTTCATCTTATGCTCCTTCTTCTTCCTCGCTGGCTTCTACGGCTCCTCTCTCCTCTCTCAGGCAAAGTTTTCATTTTTCCTTTTATGGGCTTTTTGTTTTTGATCAAGAACTTTAGTGGGTTTTTCAGTTTTTCAAAAATAATTCATTTAACAATTTCAAATTTTGATTTTTGGCAGGATGTGGGTGGTGGTGATAATAGGCTGAGAACGAGACTGTTGGAAACAGAGTATACTTCGATGCCTTATGGAGAGACCGGTGACGATTCTTTAACTTCCATTCCCTTTCAGGTTTCTGTTGTAGACTTTTCTTTGTGACGATTCTTTAAACAGTTTGATCAATTTAGGGTTGTATGAGTTTTGTGGGATCAAAGATTGAATTTTTATTAGCTAACAAGAAAAGGGCATATGAACTGCGTAGGTCTTGAGTTGGTATCCGCGTGCACTATATTTTCCTAATTTTGCAACTGCGGAGCAATGTGAAAGCATAATCGGTATGGCCAAGCCAAGCCTTAAACCATCAACTTTGGCTTTGCGAGAGGGTGAGACAGAGGAGAACACGAAGGATATACGAACAAGGTACACAAACTTAATATTTAGTGTTTCAAATGAGCAAACCTTTTTCATCATTTTGTTAGTACTTGTTATGCATACCATTTTTACTCTTGCACCAAAGTTTTGAAGACTGCCCTGTTAGTGAAATCTTATGATTGTTGATACAAGCTGAGAAATACTAGCATCTGATGATTTTATATTTAGAGGAACAAATCTAACGGGTCCAAATGTGAATAGTTTTCTTAATATGAGTGATTACAGATCCCACAAACCATGCTTACACTATCTTTTCAAGCAGTTCTGGCATGTTTCTTTCTGCTTCTGATGATAAATCTGGGACTCTGGATGTAATAGAGGAAAAGATTGCAAGAGCAACAATGCTTCCCAGGACCTATGGAGAGGTACTATTTAGTGTACAGTTTAGAGCTTATTATCATCATCTCTCTCTATACAAAATCATAATGCCTAGTCATGTTTCGTTCTAAGCAATGCTCGTGGAAGTTTTTCTTCTGTCCAAGATGACAGCATCAAGTAAAAAACTCTTGTTGCCAAAGTAATTTTATTCCTTAAAATTATAAATGAGAATGCCTGCAACCACAAACTGGGGTAGGAAGGGTGAATGGAGTTGGGGGAAGGAGGGTTGTCGGAAAATCCTGTGTCAGTTCATGGCAGAATAACGAACCCAGCTGTTTACTAACTTCTTGGAAATTTCTTTCTTGTGCCTAAGATATCAGAAGTGTGCTGTGCATATAGTTAGCTTTGTGTATTTGATGTTCTGTTTCTTGTTGGCAAAAAAATTTCTCAACATGGGTCCGAACTGTGGAAAAGTTATTTTTTTGGTAGTGTTGACAAGACTGTTATATGAGTATTTAAATGTTAGGTACCGCTGTTTGACGGGTTGTTTGTATTAATTTGCCAAGTAATGATGGGACACTTGATGTTGTAATCATAGTGAAGATATTTCTTTCATGCCTATGTGTTTCTGTTATGCAAAAGCTAAATCTGCTTTACTTGTTTTATGAATTAGTTAACCTTTTATTTCAGGCCAATTTGTAAAATTGTCTGAGCTGAGGATATCATGTTTCAGGCATTCAACATCTTACGCTATGAGATCGGGCAGAAGTATAATTCTCATTACGATGCATTCCACCCTGATCAATATGGTCCACAGAAGAGCCAAAGGGTACATCTTCACTATAAAACATGAGTTTCATTTGGTCATTATTTGTTTTCTATTTTGGGCTTGTGTATCACTGAGACCCTTGCACACCCACTCCCCGGAGTGCACATTTTAGGAAATAAAACCAGGCAAAGATAAACCTCAATATTTTATTTCCTACACTTGTACAAAAATTATACTTGGGTTGGAGAGCACAGGTGGTCATTCTGTATCACCTTAAAGATATATGGCATGGGAGTTTTACCAGGATAAATTCTATTGACTTCTTGAAACCAAATAGATGTGTGTGCTTTCATGTCTAAAGTCGCAGATAGATGTTCTGCGCTCATCTACTTGACCAGTTCAAACAAATTCAAGAAATTTCTTAATGATTACATGTTCAAACCAAATAATATTATGCTAATAGCGGAAGTTAAGTTGCATCCAGGAGTGGTCAATAAACCATCTTCTAAGATTAAACACTAATAGTAAGCATAACAAGTTGTAGATCTGATAGAATCATAATGTTTATTTTCCAAAAGGTTTTAAAGAATGCTTACATTAGTCTTATTTGATCTTTGTAGGTTGCATCATTCTTGTTGTATTTAACTGATGTTGAAGAAGGTGGTGAAACCATGTTTCCTTATGAGGTGAGTTGAAGACCTCTGCTTTTCTCATCACCCTTTTGGTTTGTCCATTGTTCATCATCCCTTTTTGATCTGCAGAATGGCTCAAACATGGATGGAAACTATGATTTTCGGGAATGTGTTGGTTTGAAAGTGAAGCCACGCAAAGGGGATGGACTTTTATTTTATTCATTGCTCCCAAATGGTACAATTGATATGGTTAGTTGCTTCCCAGTATCATTCTCATTATCATCATTTCAAGAAGTATTGATGAGAAAGAAAAAATGTTTTTCTTAGCATTTCTCGTGAAATTTACCCTGTATGAGGTATTTCATTCCTTGTTAAGAGAAGTTGTTTGTTTATTTTGTTCCATTCTAATTTAATTAATGGCTGGATGCGCCTCTGCAGTTATCAATACATGGGAGCTGTCCTGTAATTGAAGGGGAAAAATGGGTGGCTACAAAGTGGATCAGGGATCAAGAACAAGAGGATTAGTTGTATTTGTCTAGAGTGTCATTGTGCAGTGCTCAAATTTTTATCCACACCTGAGCATTAGCACACACCAACCCCCTCGGAGGGGGTCGTTTGAGAATGAGCCTTCTTTTTCTTGTATGATCGGAGTTTCAATAAATTTTCATCGTGTCGATATCTCATGTCGCATCTAGCAATTCAATTAAATAAATGAAGAAAGGTTCCATCTGTTGCAATGCAGGATATGTGAAGTGTAGCTAAGAACCTTTGCATAATGGTGCAAGAAGCTGTAATTGCATGCCTTAGTCCATCTCCATCATGAGTCCAATAATTTCTTTAGTAATGCCCTCAAAACCAGAAAGAAAAAGAACTCGAAACTTTCCACGTTCATATCTAAATCTCTCTTTGGTTTTGAAGCTAGCTTTTTGACACAAAATTAACGTGATGAGAAAGAAGAGTAAATAAAATCCGCGGTCATAGTGTTTTGAGTGTTTATGACATGCTTGGCTAAACAAGCCATCAAGAAATTGTTAAAAAAAAGCCCTGCGAACACAAGTTTATGGCACATTGATTTCGTGGCAGATAACCACAAAAGCCCTACCACTCACACCTCCTCCCTTTTTGTTGTCTTTTCCTTTTATTCCCTCTCATTTCTCCTCTCGTTCTTCGGGAACTTGAACCAAAAAAATCCATAATAAGCTAATAAAAGTGAGGGTGGGGAAAGGTGTAAGAGGAGAAAGAAGGCAAATTTGAGGATGAAAGAACAAATACAACAAGAAGTAATCGAGGTTCTGGGAAATGTCATTGTTCTCTCGTTCTTCATAGCTTCTGATTGTATATCTCTTCTGTCACCCTGTTTTCCACCAGCTCAGAAATTTATAACAGATGAAAAAGAGGTAGCTATTTTTTCTTTACTCGTCTTGGGTTTGAGTCATATTTGAAAGAAACTCCTCACTAAAGCGAAACTGCACATTGGATTTACAGGACAACTATGAACCTTTTTTTTATTCACCGATCCAATCATCAAAGAAATCTGGCAATAATTTAGACATTTCCATTCTGTTCCACATATTAAAGTACAATTTTGCCCAACTAAACTGCTAATTGTGTCAGTTTAGTGCAAAACTTACAAACAAATCTTCAAAATGAGGATCACAAAAACTTGCAGTTCTCGCCTCTACTGCTGAGGTCTAAATCCCTAAACTGCGCAGAGGGCTGATGGTAAACATGTAAATCTCATCTTCTCCTGCCTAACCACCAGACCTGCCCAGAAAGTTAAGAGGCTCAGATGGGTTTGGCAACTTGAATTGAACTCGGTGACAAGGAACCGATAACTGGTTTCCGTCTTGCACATAGTCATTCAGTTGATTCCTAAGGAATACACAAGACCATATCAATCCAATTTTTTGCAACTTACAACATATTGTTGTTTTTTCAGTATTTATGTCCCCATACCTCAGGTGGAATTCAGAGGCACAGAAATTCTTAGAAATACTCAGTTCTGCTAGTCATTAATGATCTCCAGAACTCACCAACTCAGTCAATAAGCTCGCTTATGATTTGGTATAAAATCAGAGTTTATGCCAGTTCTGATATGGTTGCTTCCCCCATCGCTTCAAGACATGCATGCAACCAGCTGCTGTGAATAGTCCAAGGGCAGCAAACGCTATGATTGTTGAGTTCCCGATGTTATTGTAGTATTTTCCCTGCATCAATACCACAGTAGCAAGAAAAGTCAGTGGATGGATGTTTAATCAATAAATCTCATGGTGGAATCTACCAGTCCAATTATGACCCTTTTTTACTGTGGCTGCTCTCCATCACTGGTGGCACACATCAGTTTCACTGGGCAGGGAGTTTCTTAATCATATGTTTTCTATGTTGAAGTAATCCTGGGAAGAAACACTCACTTGCACCAGAAAAAGCAGAATTGCTGCATTTGCTGGGGCTTGAGAAAGGCTTATCATCCCCCCACGCAGTGCATTAGGCACATACCTGTGAACACCAAATAGAAGCAGGAAAACCATCAAATTAGAATCCACGTAACAAAAGTTGAACCTGAGGCATAATATTTAGAGGAGACGTTAGCGGACAAAAAGACGGAATACTCGTTTGATTTACATTGTCCTCAATCTGGCTAGTGAAGGAAAAATCATGCCAAGACCGGCATGAAATATGCAAAATAATGTCACTAATACTCCAATTTCCTGCATATCACCAATTAAACGTTTAAACTTCGGAACCACTATCATTAAACATAATTGATGATCATATTTCTTATATTTCCATTTACAGAAGACATCTTTACCTGATAATCATACGCTGTTATGGACAATACAAGCCCCATTATAATGAATGCAAATACTAGGCAATCCTCAGTTCTCAGGGATGACAGTCCACTAATGAGCCATGGAAATATTGTGCTTCCAAGCATTCTTGAGCCCAAAAAACATGGATATATCAACCCTAGGTGCACTTCTCGTCCATCAGCCTAAAATCACATATTTATTAAAAATTGATGGAAGAAATTGAAACTATGATATCTAAGGTTCAATAACTTTAAATCCCTCTTTTAAATTTACTCAGGAATAAGAAAGAATTCTTTGTTGAGTGCGAAAAAAAAATTCCCATCAACATAAAGTTTCAAGTAGTTCAGATATTAACCATGGTACCTTTCACTTCGCTAAACATTTTATTTTAAATTATAGAAACCATACCACTATAGTAGGGGCCCATAGTATCCAGAAGACTGCTACAGAGAAGTGAAGGCAAGCCTGTGCCCACACCAAAAGCCATATTCTTTTATCTGCCAACCATATAAAGTTTCAACGGTAAGAATACACACCAAACATATAGTTAAAGCTTACACCTACAGTAGCTCACACCATGATTTGCAAAGCATTATGCAGAAGAGCAGCTAAATCATGCTAGTACAGCATCTTTAAATATTCAATCCTCTAAAATGCAAATAATAAGTCGCTGGAATAGTGAAGATTAAAAAACAACACTCCCACCTAAAAAGTGTGAAAATTCTCTTCAAGTACTCATCATTAAAGGAAAGATGACATAAGTGATTTAGCTAATCAAGAACATTATAGAAATGGAAAAAATTACTCTCCTGGATCAGGGGATTGATGGCATGTTGATTATATTGGGGCAAACAGATACAGTTGAGTATCAGAGGAGGCAAATAGCAACAAGCAAAGGAATGAAGTGCAAAGCAATAAGAGTTTGATCCTCAAGAACAAAATTTTACACAAATTCGAAGCATATGCCTTTGACGGAATTAACATGCTTCACTATATCTGGAACTACAGTCTCACTCAATCTCATTTAACTGATTCATTTTCATACTGAATGTATTCAAGCAGTATAGTTTATTTAAGTAAACGAACAAGGAAAGTAGATAATTTTTGTTTAAACAAATGCAACTCTTACCACCAAAAACATATGTAGAGAAAGACGCCCTATACTCCTTAAGAGCTACTTTCTGTGGGGTTTCTGTCCATCCTCTGAGAAGACAAACCACGGCAATTGTTGCCAAAAAGATGGCTGCAGTGGAATGAGATGCCATGTTTTTGTCCACATTATTACCAATGAGCCAATTTGAAAGCACCTGGCTTCCAATGAGAGATGCGGACTCAAAGAAACTCATCAACCAAAAAGTCTCACTCAACATATCTTGCCTGTGCCCTTGCTGCAAACATAAATTTTTTTTCATCATAATTGGCACTATAGCTAGTCCAACAAATTGCTTGTGTACAAAAGTCTATGTATGAGTCACTCCCATTTCTAGACTAAGTGATGTTTCTACGTGCAAACCAAGTCTGAAATAACTGGCATTTCTCAACAACCTCTTCATGTTGAACTACCATCCACGTCTCGAAACTGAAAGAAAAAATCAAAGCTGCGAGAGACAAACAAATACTCGCCACCAAAACACTCGGATGATCAATGATTCTCTTCCACAAGCCAAGAAAGAGGTGTAGAATGCAAAAGAGGAAACAAACTTTCTTTGGACCTCTACACAAATTACAAAAAAAGGGAAATCAATTAAGGTTTAACATTAAGCATTGGAATAACGAACAAGAAGCAAAACTGGCCTGAAAATGCACTTACATTAAATCGGAAAGTACGCCTAAGAAGGGACCAATTAAAAGAGAAGCTGCAAATCCAACACAGAGAGAAAACATCATTTGCTCTCTGCTTAAACCGTAGTAAGCTAACTCAAACTCACCAAATACAGACCACAGTCCCTCCATCACTGACAGCAAAAGTCATAAGAACCCCATCAGTGATCAAAAACAAATAGCTAAATTAAGATTAAAATGCGATTCTGCTTGATTTATGACAAAATGTAAGTACAAAAACTTAGACGGAAGCTGAACTAAAACTTAAAAGAGCAAAAAGAACAAAAAGAAAAGAAGATCTATCCGGAAGGAAACAAGAGACGACGTCGTACAGACCTGAGGCGAGAGAATAGATAAGAAGGAAGTTCCTCTGGAAGCGGAGAGAGGAGGCGGTGGGGGAGATTCCATGGTCGAAGAGCGACGGAGCTTTGCTGGAGCTGCTGCTGCTGCTGCTGCTGCCAGTGCTGCTGTACTTGTTTGAAGCGTAAGGGAAGGCGAGGATGGAGAAGAGAGAGGCGAAGAAGATGAATATGTAAAGGCCAGGATTTGGCTCCCAAACAGAGCTTTCAATCACCACCCCCATGTGAATATTGCTTTTATTCGAATCAATCAGAATGAGAAGCTTCGGATCTCAGAGATTGGAACCAGTGTTCTTGAGGCATTGGTGCAGATTTGAACCAGTTCGAATTCGAGCTTGAGATCTAAATGGATTGGAATTTGGAGATGATTTGAAACGTCGACGTTCATTAATGGAATTGGGGTCTGCCGGTAACTGTAAGTCTGTGAGTCTGTGACTCAGTGCAACTATTTTCTCTCTGCAGCATACTACTGTAGCGGACAATCCAAACGTCGTCGTATTGAGTATGTTCGATCATCCTTCGCGACTTCAACTCAAAGTAATGAACGCTCGATTTGCGGGCCTTCTGTTCATTACGATTTTATTTTTATTTTTAATCTAAACTTTATCAGAAGTTTGTATGCATATAAAGTGGCAATGGATTTGTAGTTACAGGAGGTCTTCTATTCGTATCTCCTCCTCCAAGCAATTTAGGACTATTTTAAAATTATATCATTTGTAAAGTTTTTTTTTTTCTAACCTATTCAACATAATAAGATTTAATTATGAAAACTTTAGTCCGTCTTATTAGATGAATCAATTTGTAATCAATTTGTAAATGAGTGGCGACGACAACAATAATGATTGCAATGGCAGATATGATAGCCATGATGATGGTGGCGGTGGCGGCGGTGGCCGCAGTAAGATAGCTGTGGTGGCTATAGTACCAAGGATGATGGTAGAGGCAATGACAGTGGTGATGGCAATGATGGTGGTGGAGGCGGTAGCTTTCGTGGTGGCTCTAGGTCAACCTAACATTACATGCAGTTTCACCTTAATAAAATGAACCTCTATGGCTTGGTTAGTTGTACAATACCATCTGTTTTGTTGAGGTGTAACATCACCAATTTTCTTCTCATTTCTCCCATGCAAGGAACAAAAGGGGTTTGGTTTAAACAGAGATGTAGTGGGCAAGTGGGATATACATAGTACCATAAACACATGGCTAAATCTTTATTATAAAAGACAATGGCAATATGTACTGGTCACAAATGAGACTGGATGTTTCCAATTCTTCAAGTGAACTCCTCCTGGGCCTTGGTAGCCTCTGCTGTCCGGAAGATGCTCTACCTTGGTGATGAACAATTGGCACAAACCTGGATTTCAAACATAACCGAGATACCGGAAGAAACATTACGGCAAGCTCTTCAAGTAATGGGAAAACTTCATAAGAGTTCCAATTTGTTGCAGATATGATTACAACATATTCAGTATTTTTTATATATGGGATTTCAACATATCTAAATAAGCATTATGTATGATTACAGGAAGAGAATTTGTCAGCCTGTAACTTCTTAAACTAGATGAGCCAAGAACCAAAATATTAATCATTAATTAAATACAGAAACTGACTCCTGGTGGTATCAATAATATTTGTGTCTTATCTCCTACTCAATTCATGACCAAGCAATTAATTACGTTCAACTTCTACAGCAAACAGAAGGGGACAAGATTCCATGACTAAAACTACAGGAACCATCTATTCATTTAGTGCCATCAATGAAAATTCAGTTTACGTGTATATGCAGGCAACTTTGAGCAAATAAATATTATATACAACGTAATTTGCACGCACAACTTCCTTCATTTCAGTTTGTATTATGTGAACAATGGCATCTGTGACTGTGGTGTTTATATTTTGCAAAACACAAAGATATCATATCAGATAAGATAAAGCTATGGACAAGCTTACATAACAACTAATTGCATGCATACCTTGCTCAATTATTTAAGACTCTCACCCCTGTCTCATCTAAACCTTTAAAATCAGGCTTTAGTTCTTCCACTTTTCTGCAAATTCAGAAAAGATTAAAGAAATCAGTAAAAAATACTACAAAAAGAAAAAATAAAATCTGCAAACCTTGAAAGTGCTTAACATTGGCCAAAAAAGAAGGAAAGATTGAACACCTTTCCCCTGCAGGTTCTGATTGGTTTTGCACAAATGTCTTCAGATCAGAAGCTATCTTCTCATACACTTGGGCATCCGCAAAATCCTGCTCCAGTCAAACAGGAAAGGATTATTATCCTACACTGTTCATCTGTAAAAACAACTGAATGAAGCACTAGCACTTTCAAAAGTAAAATGCTTACACCGTGAACATCTTGCATCCACCCAGGAACTCTTTCTGAAAGAAGTGTGATATACTGCTCCATCGCTACCTCTGCACTCATGTTTCCGAGTTGTTGCCAAGCATTCCTTGTACAATGTAAACCGGTTTTCTCTATCAACTTAGTGAAGCATCAGAAGTAATCATAATTATTGTCCACAAAACTACATTCTGGATGTGAAAGCTTAGTGTGATGCCATTCAACTCAATTTCTACAAGTTAACAGTACTAAAAGTTTATTCATCTTGAGCCTGAATACACTCTGTAGATGAATCGCTTGCACTTAGAAAAGGTCCTTCATTTTCGGAAAATAAGTTCCCTGTTTAGTCTGCTTGATATAAAATGTCATAACAGTTGGAACTTGCAAGTAGTCCAAGTAAAAATCGAAAGGGGAAGAACATTAAAGGGACTTATCCCTGAGATACATGAACAATGCAATTGGGTATTGTGACTTATCAGTTTCATAAAAATAATTTTCTTTCCTCTCCCCTCTGTAAACTTTGCTTAGTCCACATTCATCATGTGCCTTGATAAACAAAGTTAACGCTACAAAGTACAATTCTTGAGAAAGTTGCAATGATTATCGCGTGATAGGACAATCACCAAATAAAAAGTCTTTAAATCAAAGTACTATTTCTGGGCATGTAGAGAGCTACACTCAGAGAAACCAATAAGCATATATAAGAACATAATCAAATCAAATAGTACCCTGGAATATCACAACACAAAAAAAGGCAGAATAGAAGTTAGAAGCTACCATTTTGCTCGTGCAGAGACCTTGAATGCCATAGGTTGGGGTTCAAAGCAAGGCCCTCGAGTGGCAATCTTGTGAAGCCCATCTAACCTCGTCTTCACATCACTTCCAACACTTGAACTTCTCTCAGCATTACTCTTAGACCCAACAAACACCACTGCAGCACCAAAAAGCCTCTCCAATTCAGTTCTTTCTATTCCCTCCCAATCATCCTCACCAAGCAACCCCTCCTTTTCCACACCGTCGACTACACTCTCTTTGGCTCGATCAGCTTCATGATCACTGCCATCACACTCTGGAAATTTGATATCTTCACTTTCAAAGATTCCCACTTCGTTTTTTGTCAAATCTACCTCAATTTCTCCAAATTCATGCCTCTCAGAACTTTGATCAACCATGTTCTCTGAGCGCCCGCATAGACAACCATGCCCACCAGAACTTTCATCGTCAACACTCTTCTCTGACAAACAAACAACTCCAACTTCTCTGCAAACTTCATATTCATCAGTCTTTGAACCCTCATGTCCCGTTGGCGATCCAGAACTTTCATCAACAAAATCTTGAAGTAGGAAACTTTCCTCTTTTGGTTCTTCACCTATAAATTCCTCAAATTTCACAACTTTTTCAACAAACCCACCTCGTATCTCACTTCTCCAGTCATGAATTTCGGGTTCAACCGGAGATTCACACTCATAAAGAACCCTTCTTTTCCCCACATGGTCATTGGCATCCCTGCTTGGACACATAGAAATAACCAGAGGGAGAACGAAAGAAAGCCAAAAAGCCATCAAGAGAGAAAAAACAACTGTAAATAAAAAATCAGGAAGAAGCTCCATGGCTTTGCAGAGAGACCCAGAAAAGAAAAGAAAAAACAGAGCTTAGTTTCCGATGACGATGATGAGAAAGAGAGGAGATAATAAAGCAATAAGGATTTTGCAGAGCAGAGGAAAGTATATTCTAATTCTACAATATTTTTCTCGTGCCACAGTTAGGTGTTGGTCGGTCGGTCGGTCCCTGTCCTTCCGAATATAAATACAGAAAAATGAGGTGTGTTTTTTTGGTTTGGGTAAAGTGCGGTATTGGAAAAGGACTCTTCCACTGACCCACGAGTCCTTTCAAATGCCATTTATCTTCTTCTATTTTCTATATAACCGCCGCTACAACGAGGGAGAAACAGTTTGACGGCTTTACCATATTATTTATATTTTATATATTCTTTGAGTGAAGCTGCCAATTTTGCGAAACAATGATTTGGCTTTGTACATGCTTATATTATGGAGGATCACGGATTATGGGACTATTTGGAATTTGGAATTTGGAATTTCGTCTGTTTTTGCTAATATTAATTCGTGGGTGTTGATGTGCACGAGTGGCATAGTGCTAAAGAGGTGAGCATGAGACAAGTTGAATTCTGACATTTTAAACTTGAAAATGTACGAGTGTAAAAAGCACCAAAATTCACATGATGTGTAGTTTTCTAGTGATTACATACACGTAGGAGTTTATTTTAAGGCTTTGTAAGAGCATCTCCAATCGATATGTCAAACGTGCCACATAGACATTTAACAGCTAAAAATGACATCTCACATCACTTCAACCGATATGTCAAAACTGATGTGGAATGAAGGCTGGAGGTTGAGATATTATTTTTGACATCCCAAAAGCAAGATGTCAATAAATATTTTATTATTTTTTCTTTTCTTTTCTTTTTAATTAAAAATGAATCAACACTAAAATGTAATAAAATAATAATTTAATTTGACATATCGGGTGAAGTGTAGAGCTGTGTAAGATGTCAAATTGCCACATCAGCCATCAAATTTTAATTTGATGTTTTGTATTTGACATCTCCCTTAGAGATGCTCTAAGAGGGTAAGGTTGTGGGATTTATTTATTACCCAAATGGTAATTTTTGACCCAAAATAAAAAAAGAATCAAGAAAAATATAATTATTTAAAAAACAATATAAGGTTAGAGATCATCAAAGTTCATTAAGAGATATTCCTTAAGAGTGCATTTGGATGAGGAAATTTAAAAGTACAAAGAATTTATTAAATAATGGAATTTAAAATAACGGAAATTAATGTTCTAGAATTTGTAAAGTTTCTTGTTTGGGTGACAAATTTAAAACACGGAATTTAACCTTTATTTGTAAAGTTATCTTTTTTAAAAACTCAATCTCTCTTGGGATTTTAGAAATGACGACTTTTAGATAGAATTTAAAATTGAGATTTATGATCTCCAAATTCCATGTTTTTTCCCACGTGGAATTTCTGAATTTCTATGTTTTTTTATCCAAACACGGGAATGGTTCATGTTAATTTAGAAATTATGAGTTTTGTCAAAATCCCAAGTTTATTTCCCTCATCCAAACGCACCATAAGAGTTTATGAAACAAGCTAAATTTTAGGGAGCTGATTTTCCCACTCCTCTTTTCTCCACTTACACTCTCTTTTGCTTTTTAATATTTTTTAATCAATTTTGTTCTTTCTCTTTCCTATTTTATCCTTACCTTACATTAATTTATTTTTACTTCACCTTTTATATTATTTTTTTTCTTTGTACTTAATGTTTCAACTTACACTCCATTTTCAGTATTAAAAAAAAAAAAAAAAAAAAAAAAAAAAAAAATTCTTACTTACCCATTAAAGGAAAAAAAAATACTGAAAATGGAGTGCAAGTTGAAAAATTAAGTACAAAGAAAAAGAACTAATATAAAAGTGAAGTAAAAATGAAATTAGGGGAGTGTATTCAATTAATATTTTAAAAGAGTTAAATGGAGTTATAAAGTTTATAGAGTTTAATATATTTCAATTGATTTCTATAAACTGCACATAAAGTTTGATTGAATTCGTAGATTGATTTTAATGGTGTTTGTTAGAGTTTTATCATAGATTTTAAAAGAGTTTATTAGAGTTCTAAAATGTTTTTTTTTTGGGCTGTTTATTGTTTTTCTAGATTTTCAAAAGAGAAAGTACCTTTGCAAAAATTTTTTGTAAAAAATGTCCAAACCATATACATCCAAAGAAAATAAAAAAAAGGGCCCTTATTTTGTTCAAATGTGCAACCAAATAAAGATATATGTCAGCATGTTTATGAAAAATACGCAAAAGTAAAAACATAAAAGTAATTTCTTGACCAAAAAAAAAATTATAAGTAAACTATAATTCTAAATGCATAAAAACGAATAAGTATCTTCTTCATTGCTCATCTTTGACTCCCGTCATTCATAGTATCTCTCCACATATTTGAAGATATATATCCCAACCCTCCATTGGTTAGCATTCTCGCGTTGTTATTCTTGGGTTTGAAAAACTTGGTCATAATTAGTTCCCTCATTTTCTAGTAACGATGACAATGTTGAATGCTCATTGTCTTCTTCAATAGATCAATGAAGAAGGCTATCATATATATGATATGAGGTCCATAAAAAAATAAAAAAATAAAAAAAACTAAAATATAATAAAATAATAATAATAACAGCAACAACAAAAAAGGGCGTAGAAAAATAAAACTTGTTCAATGTACAACAACAAATATTTATAGCAACAAATAAGTTGATGTTCATCTCTATATATGATGATGGCAACAACAACTACTATTCAAGCAGCAATTGTTCATATTATGATGTACATCGATATATATGCTACTGTTCATTGATATATGGTGATGTACAGCAACAACAAATATTCAAACACACGATGAAAGATCATACATGTATGAAAACGTAGAAAAAGAAAGGAGATTTTTTACCTCCACTTGACAATCACACACGTTCAAGGACTGGAAATCATAGAGCACGTTCAAAGTTTCTAGGGTTGACATAAGATTTGTCAGGGCATTTTGTATTTATACTTACCCCTTTAATTTATAATGAAATCGGGCAACTCATCCTTCAAAATAAATTACTTTTTGAATACACTTAAATTTTGTTTGACTTTTAAAAAGTCAAAATTGAATACACCTAGATTTCAATGTATTTTTTTAATGTAAATTGAAATCTGAATTGAATATACCCAAATTTTTACAAACTCTCTTAAAATCTGAATTAAATACACCCAAACTTTTAAACTCTTTTAAAATCTTAATTGAATATGCAGGGTAATGGTAGAATAGGAAAGGGAAAGAACAAAATTGATTAAAAAGTATTAAAAAGCAAAAGGGAGTGTAAGTGGAAAAAATGGGAGTGGAGAAATCATATCCCAAATTTTATGGGAAAATTGTTTTTTCTTCCTGATCAATATGCAAAATGACAGATCCTGATCATGGAATGTAAAACAAAAAATAAAACATTCATTCTCTCTATGAAACCAATCATGTATATGTGAATTTGTGGACGGTATTGACAGAATGGAACTTATTGGTGGATATCCAATTTATAAGAAAGGTACTAATCCTTCTCACCACCACGTCAATTGATTGGATAAGCTCAAAACTCCGTTTGGTATAAGATTTGACCAAAGCTTTGGGATTTGTCACTACATTGTTAACCTAATTAACTTAAATATATCCACATATATATATATATATATATATTTAAAAGAATAATGTTAGGTGAAGATTATATAGGACTCGTTTGGAAGTGATTCTAAAGAGGTAAATAATCGTTTTTATGGAGAATTACTTTTCTAAATAATCACTTTTACGTAATTTTAAGGAAAAACACATCTCTAAAAATGGCTAGTTTGATATTGATGTGCTGTGAAAATAATCGTTGATAGATTTGCTGTGAGAGAAAACTGTTTGGCATTTGGTAAATTTTTTGTTAAAAGTGTTATTGGTATTGATTCCCGCATATAATCATTAAACCCAGCGCATCTTCGAAACTAATTCCTACATAATCATAAAATGAAAGCGCCTCATTAGTTGCTTTTCCTTATAGCTTTCTCTCACATCAATTTTTAATAATAATTGATTTTCTCATAGTTTACCAAACGGGTTGGGCTTTTCAAATTTTTTAAAAAATCACTTATCACCCTATTTAAGCAATGCCAAATGAGTACTAAAAAGTGATTATATGAAGAAGCACATGTGATGTGCTTCCTCCCAAAAGTGATTTTGGTCTATCCAAAATCACTCATTGTTTGCAAATTAAAGTCCTGTTTCACTCGACAAGATCTCATTGACAATTATTATTTTTATCATAGTTGATTATTTGAAAGTTATAATAGGATGAGAAATTCCAGGGCCAAAAACTTGAATTTGGGTGTTTTGAGACACCTCTTGGGTGCCCCCCCAAAAGAAAAACACAATAGTCCACATCGAATGGGCAATGATGAAGGCATTTGGGGCTTGTAGCCAAATTGGGCCCAGATCCTCCGTGCCGTTCGTGTGGAAAAAAATAGAGAACCTGCCGTCACAGAAGTCATCTCGAACTTTCTGAAGCTATGGACTTCAATAAATTTCTCCCCACCTATAAATTGACTTATTCGCACCGAATTATTGCTCCCCTTTTTGCCTAACAGGCACAGAGCTCAATTGCGAAATTAGGGTTTTCAGGTCTTCATCCGTCTTCGATTACCAGACATGGGAGGAGGCAACGGTCAAAAGGCCAAGATGGCACGTGAGAAGAACTTGGAGAAGCAGAAAGCCGCCGGCAAGGGTAAAATTTCGTCTTTGTTGTTGTCACAGACATTAATTCTCCAGTTGCATAAAATAAAGAATTATTTTTGAACTTTTGTATTTAAAATTGGATTTTAATTGATTGGAAGCTTCTTTCGAGGATTATATTGGCAGACAAATATCCATTGTGGGAAAATAAAGAAATTTTTTTATGTTTAAAAGCCAGAAATTTTTATTTTTCTTGGCAACTCCTTTTGGGGATTATGGTTAGATCTAGTTGTTGGTCTTTTACAATTTGGTTAATTTTTTTATTTACACAGGAAGCCAGCTTAAAACAAACGAGAAAGCCATGTCCATCCAGGTAATTCCTTGGGGTGTTTCTAACCCCTTTTTAGTTTCTGAGGAAAATTACTTAACTAGTTGTTGATGACTATGTTTCCTAGTTAATTCAAGAACTATTTGTTTAAGTCTGTGTCGATTTTAGTCTTGATGGGTTTGTAATAAATCCTTTTCTGCTTATTAGTATAAATGGAATTTGAATGAGGGTGGGTTATCAAGGAATGTTCAGTTTGTGCCTGCCAATGCTGCTTGTTCGGTTTTTTTTTCTTCTTTTTGTGGGACTTTTTGATAAATTCAGCTCCTTTGTTGCAAACTTGAGGTGATAGTGATTATAATTTATAATTCATTGGTTAAGATGACTGCATAATTCAGAGCATCTTGTTGTATATATCTATAATTTGTAGCTAGTGATGAAGCCTTTTTGTTTTCACTTATTGGTCTTTATTTTGTGCTAAGTGAGTGATTTGTATGAGCTTTGGGGCTAGGATCGTTAAAGTACATTTCAATTAGTTGTGGGCTGATCAATATAGTGAAATCTAATTGTTTCCCAGGGAGCTAATGTGTTCTCTTTCATCTGCGTACTATGATTGATTATTGAGTAATGGTATTGTAAATGTTGACTGCAGTGCAAGGTGTGTATGCAAGCATTTATGTGCACCACATCAGAGGTGAAGTGCAGGGAGCATGCTGAAGCAAAGCATCCCAAGTCTGATGTGTACGCTTGTTTCCCTCATCTCAAGAAATGAACAAAATGCGAGAAGAAGTTGTAGGGACAAACTGTGAACGTTATGGCCCTCTATATTAAGCTTTCTGGAATGAATTTACCAACGGTTCTTCCGGATTGATAGCTATTTAATACTGGTTGTGAAGTGTTTGTGTGTGTTAATGTGAGTGAGGGAGAGAGCAAGAGAAAGACATGTATCTCCTTGTTGAACTGAATCTTGGTCTTAAATGATCATGAATGTTGGTGCTGTTGCTCCTTGTAAGACTTTACATCAATTCTTGTTAGCATGTGCTTTATGCTTGTTGGCATACCCAACTGCCTACTCTGGTCAATTGCCAAACTTCAAAATGTGGGATTGATGTTTACTTAGCTTTGTGGCTCCAAGCTTGTGCCAAGCCTTTGACAGCAATTGAATTCAAAATTTCTGAGTTGCTCTAGTTCTAATAGGCACGTTAAATGTGTAATAATTCCTCATTCTTCAGTATTATAAATCTTTTTCGTCCGAATTGAGTCTCAATTGTGTTGTGTAAGGATATTGGAGGATGAACGTATCTCCGTTCCGTTGGTTGGGGCTGATTACTTTGCCGAGACTTGCATTGCCAAAGTCTATTCAACAGAGCAAGGAGTATATAAAGATCGACGACACACCAGAAAATAAAGGAGCCCCCTGTTGTCCAGGATCTAAATACTGTTGAAAATAGTTGAATGATGTGTGTCAATGTCATAGCCAAAAACCATTTGCTCAGCAGATGAGGCTTTCATTGATCTGATTTACGGCATTAAGCAAAAATATAAAAACAATCTTGCCAGAGCGAGGTGGCAATAAAGAATATATTCACGGAAATCATGCTTTAAATAATTAATCTTCTATCCAACAAAGTCATCAACTTGACAACCATTACTATAAAATCCCATTCAACAATATTAAACTTACAACAATTGCCAAAGGCAGCCAGAGTTTTCAAGTAAATAAAACACTCCCAAATAGCACAAATTCTAGTCTACATATGGGGCATTATATTATCAAAGCTCTTACGTCCGCATCCTGCTGCTTTCTGCTGCCCTCACTTGGGAGAAATATGGATGGCCCTGCAGAAGTGCCAGCTTGGCAGTAAGGTTTTCTCATCCCCAAAATATAATGGTGGAAGTTATCAACAGCAAACATGTAAATGCATAGAACAGTGCTCACATAAAATGAAACTTAGTGATTAAATTAATGTCGGTAAAAGGAAAAGAAAAGGAGGAAAGAATTAGGTGTCACAAGAACCCTTTTTCAGTTTGACTCTAACTAATGGAGAATTACCATTGCCTCTTTTGCAGTTAGCCTGTCTTGATGATCATACCGAAGAAGTTTATCCAGAAAATCGATGGCCTGCATGTCAAATACCTTAAAAATTAATGGCAAGTTGGCAATTGTAGGAGTTTTAATTTGGAAAATACATAAAGGAAGTTTTGATGAAACAATGTGAATAAACTAAAGAACTTTTTATGTACACATTTCCATGATGGGAGCTCTTATTGGCACTCCAAAAAAGCGATCATGCACTCCTCCCTCATAAAAATATAAGGAGGAAATTGCACTTTCAGAAGGATGAATTTTTTGGAGGGCCAATAACAGTTTGCTTCCAAGAAATGTAGAATTTACCTCTGGAGAAACTAGATGCTGATTATCTGCATTAATAAACTTCGACCAGGGCTTCCTGCTGTGCCTGCAGTACAGTGTAACAGCACATCAATACACGTACACAGATACTAATTCCACATTACTTATTACTTTCAAGATTTCATTCACATTTATAAACTGCAGCACCTTTTTACTTTGTTTGATAAGTTAAACTGCAGCAGTTCCTAGCGGAAGATGGAACCTTTGCATTCGCATGCTAAGATATTTCCACAAAGAATTCATATTATAACAAAATTGACCTTTTACAAGATTACAGAGAATTGGCATCACTTAGAAGAAGAGATTTATGCTGAAAATACCTCCCCACAAGTGCATCAAGTTGAGGATCAAGCTCTAAATGGTACTTGTTCAGATATGCATTCAACTCATCAGTCCCAAGTACCTGGAAATGCATATAAATTACTACAACTCATTAAAAATATATACATATTACATCAAACGATATTGGTTAGACCATACATTATGTTCATAAGGATTCATTAGTCCATATTTATAGGTGTGTGTGTGCATGGGTTCATGTGGATGGGGGTTGATGTGAAACTGCCCTAGATGATACAACACTATCACCTAAGTGAGGGATAGTAGTACAAACAGACATCCTTGAGTTTCTCTCCAAAGATATATAGAATCTAAACATTCATACAGAAGTAGTTGTAATATAAACAGTAACCACTAATTTGTTGTTTCGCTCCTGCAGGAATTTCTACCAGTGGCATATGCATACTGATTACGTCATGTCAACCAAAAAAGGACTAGGATTACCTTGGCAATTTTGACCAGCTGGTCATGGTTGTCATGGCCATAAAAGAAAGGTTCCTTGCGAAATATCTACACAAAACAAGTATAATGAGAAAAAAAACACCTGATTATATGCTTTTCTAAACAGAAACACATTAAAATTGCGAATTGAAGTAACTAACACCAGAAACCATTTAAACCAAAATCCAGTAACTGTAATTCTCACCATTCCAGCAAACATACAACCCAGGCTCCACATGTCCAGAGAATAGTCGTAATCTTGCAAATCGACTAGAAGTTCAGGACCTTTAAAGTATCTAGAAAAGAAGGAAAGAAATTTCAATCATTCCACAAAGATGAATTTACAGTCTAATGATGCAAGAAAACTCAAAGGAACCGTCACAATGCTAAAATCATTAAAGAGACTCTCTACTCTAGCCTTCCAAATACAGGTACCTATTTTAGCAATTGATTACGCTTTGTCTTGCAGATGAAAATACCGTTGAATATGTAGTGCCAATACACTATATGCAAGAAAAGAACCAACTTAAAATATTTATTCCTAGCCACCTAAAAATGCCTGATCAATACTAACATCAACTAAAGGCTCAAGCAATTCACATTTCAATGTACATGCATGGTCTACATAGGACCCAGAATAGGTAATGATTCTACATTGTTGTAAAATATTACCTTGAAGCTACACGGACATTATATTCCTTTCCAGGGTGGTAAAATTCAGCAAGTCCCCAGTCTATCAAGCGAAGTTTTCGCAATTCATGGTCTATCATAACATTGTGAGGCTTGACATCTCTATGCATTATTCCTTGTGAATGGCAGTAATCTAATGCCTGCAATGCGAAGATAATTAACATATGAAAAGGTGCTTACACATTACTAAGATGGTTAGTTTGGAGCTTAAATTCCACAAGTACTTATTAAGCAAACTAGATCCAGACTAGGATGTTGATCCAACATCCCTATCATACACAACACATTGAAAAGTTGATAGCAGTGCTTTTTCCCAAATAATTAAGGTTGGTTGCACATTGAACTGCACATTATTGAAGCAGGGGTGTGAACCGCTTCCTACGAGGAAATATACCACCATTAAAAGAAATGCATGCAGCACAATGGACCAAAAGCATATCAAAGTAGTTGGCAAAAGTTTTAGCTTCTGATAACACAAGATCTCAGCTGATATTTGCTATTTCCAAACGAGTCTAATGCAAACCTTCATTTGGACTGAAATTTCAAAATCCGCAGTACCTTGGAACAGTGCAACTAGAGAGCACTCTAAGGCCCATTTGAACGAGATGATTTCAAAGAAAAAAAACATGTGGATTTGAAAATAAGGTTAGATTATATTTTTTAACATTAAAAAGACAACAGAAAAACTAGCAAAGTATTCTTGTGCACCTACGTCACTCGGCTCGTGCATGGAATGTATTTGAGATAACTACATGTACATACAATGAGTCATGTGAAATCCATATGTTCCTTTTATGAACTAAATTCCTAAATTTGAAACCAGTCCTCCCAAATGGCCACTAAATCAAATCCCTCCTTCCTTAGAGAAAGCAATGGCAATTCATGAAGGTACGCAAGAAAATAACATACTTGAAACAATTTCTTGTACAGTTAGAACAATCTCTCTCTGGAAACCATGTGCTCTCTCATTTCTAAATTCAAGTCTCCTCTCATTTAACAAACTGTAGCATTGCAGTATCACCAGAAAACAAATTTTTTTACCAGAAATGATTCATAACTATTCATGGTTCCGCAAGTTGAGCAGGGGAAGAAGGAAATAAGCAGAAACAAGTTACGATAGTTACCTTGAGAAGCTCATATATGTAGTAGCGTATGTCATAATCAGTCAGTGTGGGGTACAAAACTTTGAAATCAGTACTGTTCACAAACTCAAATATCAAGCTTGGAGTTTTTGAGTGCTGATCTCGGACAATGTCAAGAAGCTTGACGACATTCGGTCCCCCACAAAGGTTCTGGAGAATTTTTATCTCTCTCTTAATCTGCATAAAGACCACTAGAAAGATCAAATTCTGTTCTAAATGTTACAACAAATGATCCACACACATGACATAGTAAACAATGGCGTCATTATAATACCGTGTCGCTAATGCAGTTATGACAGAACACATACTAAAAAGTGCAGAATGGGATCATTGGCAACTAAATCAAACAAAACACCAGAATCATTGGCAACTAAATCAAACAAAACACCAGAACCCAAAACCCTAATTTCCAAGAAAGCAAATACTTTACCTTCTTCTTCTTAACAGGCTTGAGGATCTTGATTATGCAGCGCTCATTCGTATTGACATTTATGCCTTCGAAGACCTCGCTGTATTTTCCCCTTCCTACTTTCCGTACAACTTCATAGTCATCTTGATCACTGAAGAAAAGAAAACCCATAATAAAGTTGTAATCTTTTTAAATAAAAACTACAAAAAGAGGGTCACAGGGTACCCATCATTACCACAGAGAGCACAGTAGATATACCAAAAAGCCCTAATTTACAAAATCAACAGCTTACTCTACTGCAAGCTTAAACTCAAAATCAAAATCAACGGCTTTGGAATGAAAGGTCCCAAATTGGATTAAAATTTTGAGAAAATCAACAAATTGAATTGTGAAGAAGAAAGAAGAAGGGAAAAATGGTTACCCCCATTGAACGGTGAGGGACTCGTAGTCCCAGTACTCTTTAGGGCGGATGACATTGACGTCAGCGTAGACACGAGCTTTGGACATGGCTGCTCCTCCGAGATTATCAGAAGCCGAGATCTGATGAGTAGGAGGAGACTGTGTCTCGTGAGGAGGGCAGGGGGAGGGGGTGCGCACGATAGGAGGGTGCGCTACAGGCGCACGCAACGCAACAAGGGTGCACACTAGCAGGAAGCGAAGAGGTATTGCTGGATTGTGCGCATATATCATGTGCTGTAGCCTGTATTATGTAGTTACCGCGACGACGACACCATTAACGTCAAACGACGCCCAACAAAAAACCTGCGTTTTGGGTTCGTTGGTACTTTGCTCTTTCCCGATTAAATATCGCTGGCGGGGAGTTTTGCTTGCCTGTAGTTGTTGCAACATAATATTTTGGGTCTGAGCTGAGAATATGATTACGTGGCGATCGGTGAGTGGCCATTCTTAATGATTTTTCCCTAATTTATTATGTTGAAAGAAATCCAACGGTTCATCTATCATAATTCGAATTCATTACCCTACCGTCTCATCTCATTACTATATCTTAATTCCAACCCATTACCCTACCAGCGTACTGTCATTGCACTACTGTACCATAATTCTAACTCATTACCCTATCAGCTATCGCCATGACAGAAAATGTCTTCAATTCTTCTGTAGTTTTTTGTTCTCCACAATCCTTGTACCTAAACACTACTTTTTTTTCAGACAAAAAAAGAAAAAAAAAGAAAAAGTAACACTACTTTTTTTATGTAGAAATTTTCACCGCATCCCTCGGTTTTTAAATTATCTTTCATATGATAAGCCTTCTAAAACAAAGTTCGGAATAAAAATTAATAGCATTTTTGGAGTAGGAAACGGAAACAAAAAGGTATTCCAAAACATTTTCCTTCCTGTATTGTATTGTTTTTCATGCAGGATCAACACTTGGTGGGTTGGAAAAGAACAAAAAAACACAGGTTGGAAGTTCACATTGTGCTCCAGTTGCAATAATGTGCTCTAATCACATACTCAAAGTGAACATAATTAAAAAATACTTTAATTTAAACTATTACATATTTATATTACATTAGTGTTGTTAGATATCACAATCACATACTGTTCTATGCAAGTATTTCCTCCTTAGAACTGAGAAACTAGGGGAAAAAAAAGATCGAGGATACTAAAAAGAATGCTTTGTGGCTTGTGTTGGGATTGGAATATTGAATAGTTCATCTTCACACAGTGACAGCTTTAGGTTGGGTTTGCTCAAAATCAAAAACTTCAAACATGAGGCGCCTTACATCTGGTTTCCCATATATGGTGTATGAGAGGCCATGAATGGCTTGTTGAACAGCAGTTGTGGCTGGATTCCTTAATCTTCGGTTGTGCTCATATGCATCCTGAACCTGGTCGGAATAGATGATAAACTGATGGAGACGCTTCTCCCTCAAATATCTCCCGCAGAATTTGTTCATAAGAACACGGCGATGTCTCTCCGCTAACCACTTTCCAGGAGCATCTAAATGTTTCATCAGCAACCTTTCAGCCATCACAAGGTCCTAAACAAGATATAAACACAAAACCACAGAACTGTCAACTAATATACGTGGGGAAAGAGAAATATCGGGTCTCCTACACAATTGACAAATGAAATTGCATTGATGCACTGTAAATTGTTACCTGGATCTTTTGGCCAACATATTCTAACCGCTCGTAACAAAATCGAGGATGCTCAAATTTATGCTTCGATGGATGCAAGAAAGAAAGCTGTATGTAAATAAGAAATCAAACAATACATCAAGATGCAGGGCCTGAACAGATTGTAATCATTAACAAACACAATTTATCCACAAAATTTTTCTTTTGGTGGTTCTAAACATTTGGGAACAGGCTGATCCGCACTGTTGTAACCTAGTGAACTTTGAGTGCAAACAAAAGCAAATGCTAGCTAGATATCAGGCAATACATAACAGAACACGTTGCCTGGTGAAGAACAAATGCTTCAAGGTCCATGCTCGACCACACAATATGATATAAAGGTTAAAGAGATAAGATTACACTCTACTGGAAAATGCACATTTAGAGATGAAGGGCAGCAAATGAAACACCTGTAGCCCAAGTCCAAGTTCAATGTTCCTTGCTGCAGTAATGTCTGGAATTCTATCAGTCATTGCCAAGGGATATCCCAATGCCCGCATGACTTGAGGTCTGCTCTCATAATCCCATATATTTCCTCTGAACCGATGCATACCTGGTGGAACACAAGCCCTGAAGAGCCTTGGATGTGCAAAAAGAGCATCTTCTGGGGGCTGTAGAGGGGGAAAACATATTATTTGCAGGAACCTTCCAGCATTGAAAAGACAAATAAACATAACTATTTACTTAACACATGGGAACCAAATTGAAGTATGGGCAACTTAAATAGTCACTCTAATACACATGACATGAATAATTTATCTGAAAAGTCACTGCACTTCAATTCATCTCAAATTGCTGCATCGCATGTCCAAGACTAGAAGATCAACAATGACTTGAACATATGATCATAAACAAACCTCAACAGTCAGGTTAAAACAAGTGCCTTGTGATAAGCCTTTAATCATCTAGTCTTATATTAAGTACCCTCATGATTTTACAAAGTGCATGCAAAATATCTGACCACCTGAAAATCCCAGATGGTTTGGAGTGTTTATATGTTTTGTTTTTATGGATAAACAACAATAAAATTGAACAGAAAAGAAAACATTATAGAGCTTGCCTTGTATCCTGCAACATCTTGCCAGCTGAGTTTTTTGCCTTCAAATTCAACGGAAACATAATCAACATCTTCAAGTTGTCTCCGTAATTTTGGCTGGCAATCCTCAGCTTCTGGGTCCATTCCAAATACTTCAAAAAGAACACGATATACTTCGGGCATCCCAAAACACAAATATATAGCTCCAAACAACGCCCAGAATACAGACCTGCCCAAAAGACACAAAATTTTTGAAGCCCAAATGATTAGCAACTCTGAAATTTCAAGCTGCAAAAGAACCACATTCAATTGCATGAATTTAAAATTTTAAAAAAAATCTGTTATGTATTGCCAAAGAAACTATGATCTTTTTATGGAAGGTGACATCCAAAAGTTAATTGAGTAGCAAGAGATAATTTATGCTAATAAATTATGATATAAATTATTTATAAGAACTTACAGCTTTATTTGTCATGAAAAATCAGCTAGTATGTTGGAATTAGGTAACAAGGATTTAGAATACACCCTAAATTGAGGCTAGGAAAGGGCCAAACAGTTATCATGTCTTCAAGTTCCATTCTTAATCCAAATAATGATTTTTTTTTCTGTATTAGCTATATAACTTTGATAATAGAGGAATGTCAAAAGCAAAGAGAAATTTGTAACCATATAAGCCAGCCCCAAACCCTACATCTCCATTCTATTTCTTTGGCAAGACTTTTCAAGATATAAGATTACAAATGCTACATGATCAATCACCAACATAGATGGTGATCAGTAAAACCTAATCCCCACATATGCATCAGACATCAAGACAAGAAGAATTCTTATCATATGCATGCACTCCGAGTCACAAGAAACAGATGAATAGTTAAAAAGACCTGACGGCAATATCTAGTGATATAAACTCCTATTTCCATGATAAGATTGCAATTTTCTCCTTTACATTGTTTTGATATCTAACTAAAGTTCTACACTTCAATACAAGTTATATTCTCAAGGATCCAAGGCAATGCAATAAAACATTTTTTTGGATAGGAACTAAGGAAAGATAATTGAAATAAGAAAAGAAAAAAGACCATTGAACTTACTTCACAGGCGGCTCTCGGTCCTTCCTCTGCAACTTATCCATATCATCAAAAGGAAATACCAGGTTCTGCAAGCTAGCTGCTTTAATCCACCTGGGCAAGTTCCTCTTTCCTATCAACCCAAACACTCTCTCTCTCATTGGACCAGGAGCCTCCCTCGGATACCTCTGCAGAAAAAACTCAGCCAAACCCAATTCAAGCACATACTGCCCCAAAAACCACAGCCTCGAATGCGCAGACCGCACATGCCGCGCATTGGTCCTCTCACACGAGGGATGCTGAAAAGCCATGTACAACAAAGTATCAAATTGCTTCGCTGGGTTATCGTCCCCGAACCTATCAGAAGGCTCAAGTGGGTACCCAAGGGCTTGCTTGGCCTCAAGCATGTACTCTTCTATCCAAGCCTTATCGGCATTGTTAAGCCGGGAAGAGGGTAAGCAAGAACTGAGTAAAGGAAAAGACTTTAGCGATAATTGTGGGCTATTGAGAAACCTCTGTGCTAGTCTCTTGTCATCCAACGGTGGCCTGAGTATGAACCTCTTCGGAGGTACCTTCTTCTTCGGAGAAGTGGCTCGTTTGCGCTCTGAGAGCTCTTTGAGGAGCCTTTGGGGGCTGTTTTTGGGGAGCTCTTGTTGTGGGTCTACGGCAACAGCAAGAAGATGGAAATTACGCGAGTTTGGGAATGAGAATTTGGGGGTTTTAAGTCGAATTTGAGTTGGGAATTGTGAAAATGAGGATGAGAAAGAGTAGTTGTTGTAAGTGGAGGGGTTTGAGACTTGTATGAAGGAAGAAGAAAGGTCCATGAGTGATGTGGGTTTTTTGTATGAAAGCTGAGGAGGTGATGTGCATTAAGAGGTTGGGTTATTAGAAGAAATGGGGTGTGTGGGTTTGATAATGAATTTGGTCCGCCATTGATGGAGGGTTTCTGTGCGGTTTTTGCAGGGTTTTGGGAAATTGGAAGTTGGATAAGGTGGAGAAGGCGTGGCGCGAGTGTGAACTTCTGTTTGCTATTGCTCGTCGTCAGATATTTTTGTTGATGGTGAAGACATTTTGGCTAGTGAAAAAGTGTCGTATAGCTATTTCAGTGTCGTCTGTACCAAGTTCGATGATAATGGGCAGCTGTGCTTCGTTATGACCGGTAATTAGGGTAGGAGCGGTCCGTTCTGATTTGGTTAGGCCTCAAATTACAAATTATACATTGAATCAAGGTAGCATTACAGTTTAAATTGGTTTGGTTTAGGTCACAAACTAATAGCATGATCAAACCATTTAACTCTAGTAGAGTAACCGAACCATGATGTGTACTAGGTCAGTTCTTACTGAATTCCAGAAAAGAAACTTGTTCTCTTGATTAAAAGCCTTAAACTAAGTATTCTCGGTTTTTTAGAGTGTTACTATTTCCACCATTCTGTCCTATTTCCCCACCCATCATATAAATTTGAAAAAATACAATCCTATTTTTTCACCCACCAATATTCCTAAAATGCCCTGCACCCACCCCCCGATCATATGCTTCAACAGGAATCACACAATGGTAGATTGATACAATAGAAACCGCTGGTAAAATGCCCAGTCGTAATCCAGCAGATAAAGTACATTACATAGTCCGTTTTAGGGATTGGCGACTTACCCATTTAGTTACTTTGGTGCTAGACGTTCCCAAAATGGGTATTGTACTATCGGGTCGAGTGAATTCAATAATAGACACTCGTTGGCATTCCAGCCTTCCTTCTCCTTTCAAGAGCCTATCCGAAAGAGAATCCAGTACTTCTTGGTCGTGAATATCTGAATAGGACAAACCGCCCCGTGGATATCTTTGCTTCGAAACAAAACAATTAAAATTAGTCGGTCAATTGAAATGTGTATTATCCATATAGGGGATCTTTCAATTGAGAAGATCCGTTGACCTGAGACGAAGAGAAATGTCTATATATTTCATTTAGTTATTCAGTTAAACCAATGAGTCATTATTGTAGCAGATAGCAACAACCATTTCATCCGACAAGCGTTTTTTTTTATTTTCCAATGGATTTACATCTTTCATTAATGGAAATTTTTTGATGTAGTGAGTAATAGCTCTGGTTGTTCGCTATTCAAGAATTCTTGTTTAGGCAGTTCATACCATCCATACATAATGTTTTGATCTAAGATTTCAATTATTCCATGTTTCAGCAGTAGTTAGTATATTGTTTCATGGAGCTAAGGTCCAAAATATGGAAGAAACAGGTGTTTCCACAACTCTACCGCTCAGTCAATTCTGTTCCACTTAATCCCTGTTTCATGGCCACATATCTTTCCGGCTAAGGAATGGGAAACCTTTCTCTTGTTACATGAATCCAATTTTCATTTCATCCGGGAAAAGCCATCTTTTTCTCAACAATGTCTTTGTCATTTGATCCAATAATGTTCCGTTAGATAGGAACAGCTTTGATAAATACTGATAACTCTCGGATGGAGTATTAGAACGGAAAAATCCATTAGATAATGAACTATTGGTTCTAAGCCATCTCTGGCGATGAATCAACAATTCGAAGTACCTTTCTTGCGTATTCTTGATAAACCAGCGTTTATATATAGATGTAGGAAGATCTGTTTGGGAAGTAAGAAGCCCCTTTGACATCTCTTCATCTGCAAAGAATTCTCGATGTGAAAACACAGAGATAAAAGGCTGATCTTTGAATAGGAAAAAGAGTGGATCCGCAGGGTCCCAAATGAATTGGCTTATTTCGAAAAAAGCCTTGTTCTTTGGAAGATCTATCTTGTGTCTGGTACTGCATGGTTTCACTCTGCAAGAACTCCGAATCATTCTCTTGAAGCCCATCCTCTTCATCATAAATGATCCGCTTGCCCCGAAATGACCTGACCCAATAGGGAAATCCCAATTCATTGGGCCTTTCGATACAATCAAATAGAAAGCCCCAAGGGCGCCATATTCTAGGAGCCCAAACTATGTGATTGAATAAATCCTCCTCTATCCGTTGCGGGTCGAGGACTCCTTCCCCTTCTTCAAACTCCGATTCGTATTGTTCATAGAGAAATCTCTGATCAACGATAGAACAAGATCCATTTTGCATCATATCTAAGGGATTCCTTGGTTTGGGCCGAAGAAGCAATGTCACTCGATCATTATCAAACTGACTGCAATCTTTTTCTGTCCGTGAGGATCCCACCGGAGCGCCTTCTACTTCTAATAGGCCATGAACTAGATCAGAATCATTCTCAACGAGTCCATAAGAAGTGATCCCATTTTTTTCATCGGGTTGGGGTAGAGACCAAAGGTCTTGAGCGACCGATCCGGCAAAACAACTCAAAAGATAAAGAAGTATCGTTAATTTCTTCATGCTCGTTCCAAGTTCGAAGTACCATTTGTACAAATAAGAATCCCCTTCGTTACATGATTTCTTCTTCATATAGATAGATATAGGATCTATGGAGCAATTACTTAGAAGTACATTTTGTGCAACAGCCCTTCCCATCTGATAGAAAAGGATCCCATGATCCTGAACCGATCTTACTTGGGATCGCAAATCCCAAGTTTGTCTATGAAGAGCAGATCTAATTATATTAGTGTCTATAATTGATTTCTTCTGGAAACCTCATGATGGTAAGTGCTACAAGAATGCTCAGATACGTTGGAACCCATGGTTATGGAACCCGAATCCATTAGTATGGAACATTTTCTTTACCCGAATCCATTAGCCCATGAACTGGCAATTCCTCCTTTTCTTCCTTCCTCGCCGCCGTGACAGAGAAAGCATGGTATGTCTTGAATGACATAAATTCTCTTCCTACAGTCCTATTTCTACCTGTCTGGAAGGGATCCTCATTTGCTAACCCATTTTATGCTTCATTCTTCTGACATTATTGTTCGGTTAGAAGATAAAGTTCAATGCTATGTTTAGTTTTGTTCAAATTTTTTGATGTTCTGTTTCTTTACCTTGGAATTAATTTCAGAAACTTGCTTTCGATCATATGGGAAATCACTAGAGGGATGTTGATAATTATCAGTGTTCCAAAGCTGGACAAAGCTCATCCAATTCTTCTTATCTATACAGTCCTTTTCTTTCTTATTGTTATTGGTTCCTCCTCCTCCATTGTTTTTTTTCACAATTCTTCTTGAACATTTGGTGCCGCACATTGCATTTTGCAGCTTCCTTCAGAGTTAGAATCGCTGCAATCAATATAAAGAAAGCAAACCCAGAAAAAGAGGTATAACGAAACAAAAACCCATTGAGCAATATCTTCAAAACTAAAAACCCATTAACCAAGCCCAACAAACATGGAAAAACCCAATTCTCAAATCAAACTAATATCATTTACTGAATACCATCAATCAAAACCATCAAAAAACCAAAACCCCATCTCCAAAATCGATTCCTCTACCCCCTCCCCTTCTCCTCCGGCGCCCCCCCAAAAAAAAAGTTAGAAAAAGAAAAATATATGTTCTTAAAAATCGAAGTTTTAATGTTTTACTGAAATGGAAAAACAAAAACCAACCATCGCTCAAGAGAAACATGCAAAGAGGAAGCTCGCACTTGAAGGCATCGATCTTCCTCATCTCTTCCCTCCAAGCGCTTAACAAAATCGTCAAGCTTGGACAGCCTCTCTGACACAGTACCGATCATTGAAACCTCCTTGAGGAAATCACAGATCGTTTTAGGCACAAGTCCTTAGAAGTCATTTAACAAAAGGGTAAATTTGTCTCTAAAATTGCGAAAACAAAGTGGGTGGAAAAATAAGACAGATGGGTGGAAATAGCAGCCCTCGTTTTTTATCAGAAGCATGTGCTTCAGTTTTTGATGCAAGAAGTAGGGGAAACCAATTCTTAATTGTTGATTAAAAAAATAAGGCTTGTCATTATGTTAATAAAAAATGACTAGGTTGTAATAAATTTTCAAATTGGTTTGTTTTAGGTCTCAAACTCGTAACATGATCAAACCATAATAAGAGCATCTCCAACAGTCTCTTCAACAATTTCAGAATTCTAAAATAGGTGAGCCACATCAGAAAAACTCTCTCAAACAACTCCTTCAACCTTAGTAATCAAAGGTGCAACCTCTTTCTCTCTCTTCAAGACTAGTAAGTTAACTTTGGTTCTTCAAACATTTAATTTTACTTTGGAAAAACAAAACCTATCTTGAAAATGTTAAAAACATGCATTTTTTCTTTTCATATAATAAATACATAGACATTTTTCATATGTTTTCATATTTTTCATTTTTTTTCATGATATTTTCATTAATTAAATTGAAGAGTGTGTTGGCGCAAAAATTATTCAAGTAGCAAATAAGGCTTTTCAAATTGCCACGTAGGTCAACAAACTTCAATTTGAAGAGTTTTATTTGCTACTACTCTTGGAGATGCTCTAAGGTTTTTCAAATTATCACGTGGGTCAAAAAATTCAATTTAAAGAATTTTATTTACTACTAGTGTTGGAGATGCTCTAACACTACACTATTACCATAACCAAACCATAACGTGGGTATTAGGTCAACTCTTAATGAATTCAAGAAAATAAACTTTTTTCTTTTTTATATGTTAAGCAAATAAAAGTTTACCATATGGAATAAAGGCAATTTCTGATATTCCCAAGTGTTTTCCAAGTTCAACCAATCATTGGTTGCTAATTGATCATGCCTCACATCAGCCATGTTTTTACCTATATAAGAGCATTTCCAGCAGTTTGCCCTTTGTCATGACACAAGGGGAGCCCTAGGGCAGCTACTATTCACGTGAATAGTGGCTGCCCTAGCCCCCCCCAGCAAAGTGTGTTTTAAGCAGTTGCCCTTTGCCATGACAAATGCTATTCATTTATTTATTTTTTTACAACTTTTTTACTGAAACAATTAATTTGAATAATATTTTCGGATAAGATTTTTGGGTTCCTACGTGTCAATACTATTCATATCGGATAATATTTTCAGATAAGATTTTATTTTATTAGTTGTATTGGTTGGTATTTATAGAAAAAAATAAGTATGAGGATTTTGTGTTAAAAGTGAAGAGTATTGGTTGGTATTTATAGACACTGGCGGACCCAGAATTTTTTAGCGGAGGTGCAATATTAACTAAGTATAAAAAATGGTTTTTCGGAATAATCATTTTCTCAAGATAATTTTGGTGGCTTTTATTCTTTACACATCAAATAAGAAAACTTGATTGTATGGGATTTTAATATGAAGTATATATTGACTTAATGAGCCATCATTTTTAGCCTAAATCGTATTTTGCACTAAAACCAATTTTTCATATTTTGATATGGTGGGAATTTGATTTTCTAGTATTTTTATTTGAATCCAAATGGAGGGTACTTCCTTATTTACATTGTAAACTTAATCCTTTTACTTTAATTTATTTTTATATTACTCAATTGACTTAAATGTTGAAAATGGAAATAAGGTATACAGAAAAAAAAACAATCAGTAATTTTTTTGGTTTTTTTATAAAAAAATTCCACTTTTTTATTGTACAAAAATTGGCTACTGTTGGATTGCTAGAACAAATCTGATCGGAGAGCCCAGCACGCGCCATGTGGACAATTAAAAAAAATTTGGATGCAGGGCTGAAGTTGACGTGACATCAGCCTTGCCCTCGGGCTGGAGCTCGAGCTAGCCCAATTCGCTGGGTCCTACTCCTTGCCCGAGCCACTTTTTGTTGCTGGAAACAGCATGGGTGGCTTGCCCCCCTTACCCCTTAAAAGCCCTCCCCTTGGTCCCCTTGCTGGAAATACTCTAAGTAACAAGCAGCATTGGATGGAAGACCTGTATTGAAGAGATGGGGATGGGGTGATCATCAATTGATGAGGCTTCACGGTCACAAGCACAACCAACAGAATTAGTTAAGCACCATGCCCAGATGATTTAATTTTGCGTATGTTTGTGTATTAGTTACGTTGTATATACATAGATACATATTTATGCTTCTGAAATGTGAAAATTTTCCAATTCGTGCCAAAACTCAGCTTCAATTTGATTTAAAGAATGGAAACTTGTAAGAGAACTTAGAAATCAACCATCTTGATTATGTCATTATCTTGTTGGATATTGATAGCATTATCACTGTTATTGCAGACGTATCTTGACCTTAAGTCCAACAAGTGCTCTCTGGAGTATGCAAAGGCTATCGATATCACTTGTTGGATTTTGCAAGGCATTGCAAATATGTTCGAATTGAAATTAGTCCCACATTTGAAAACTATAGTTCCTTAAAGGTCTTTATAAGACCTATTCTTAGAAATAGAATAGTTCGGATTGGGCAATACAAGTGGCCCAATTGAGTGGCTTGTTAGGTTTGGCCTTTGGGTCAATGGTTAATTAATATATGTAAATAATATATATTTAATTAGTCAAAAGATGGGCCTTACGCCTTAGGGCTCTGTGACTCTGTGATTTAAAATTTGTCCCACACGCTTCAAGTGGAGTAAAGTTAATTTGAAGGATAAGGAGGAGTATAGCCGCGCGGCTGTACTTTTAAAATATATTTTTTTTTAAGTATAGCCGCCCGGCTATACCCTTTAAATAGCATAATATTGATTTCTCTTTTTTAATTACTTTATTTAGTAGTTGTGTTTTAATTACTATTTACTTAGTGAATAATTAGTATTTAAATATTTGATTAAATAAAAATAATAATTACCATTTATTAAGTTAATTAAAGTATTTAATAATTCACTAAATAAATAAAAATAAAAATATAATAAAATAAGTCTAAGATATTATTTAATTACTAAAAAGAAAATTTATTGGACCTAAAAGATACTAAATTTATATTTATTTTTAAATAAAATCTCTCCCGACGATGATATGAATGTTCTCTGTGAATTTACAAGACAAACTCAAAACATTATATGATATTTGGATTTTTTTAAAAATAATTCAAATAATTAATTAACTAATATGGTTTAATTTAAATCACAGAGACCAAGAGTCCCAAGGCCCAAGGCTAACCTTTTGATTAATTTTATATATATATATATATATTACTTAAGCATTACACACATAATTCTCACATATTATATCATACTAAAAAAAATAGTATAGCCGGCCAACTATACTCAGTTTTAAAATTATTTGCCTTTAAAAATAGTATAGCCGTGCGGCTATCCTCGTTGTTCTTAATTTTTAAAGAAAAATAGTATAGGGGGCACGACTGTACACGTTTGAGGCGTGTCGCATAGGCGGTGGGCCGGTCTTCACATGGTATAGCCGCCCGGCTATACTAGATTCTCTTTGAAATTTTTTATGTAATAGTAGAGCCGAACGGCTATACGCTTTTCCCTAAATTTTTTTTTAAAAAATAGTATAGCCGGCTGGCGTTACTTATTTGACAAGTGGCACCTAGGCCTTGGCGCGTCCTTTTTTGTATATATAAATAGTATAGCCGTTCGGCGTTACTCAGTTTTTCTTTTTTGATTTTAAAAATAGTATAGCCGACCGGCTGTACGCGTTTGACGCGTGGCGCATAGGCGTGGGGCTGGTCTTCATGTACACATATAGTATAGCCGCCCGGCTATACTAGATTCTTGTTGAAATTTTTTAAGAACTAGTATAGCCGTACAGCTATACGCTTTTTCTTAATTGTTTTTTCAAAAATAGTATAGCCGAGCAGGAATACTCGTTTGACATGTGGCACCTAGGCCTTGGTGCGTCAGTTTTGTATACATAAATAGTATAGCCGTGCGGCTAAACACTTTAAAATGATAATTTAAATTTTAATCCATGAAATTTCGCCAACATAGATTTGTGCCGACGAATTTTCGCCAGGACAGATTTTTTTTTTAAATATTAAAAAATATAATATTAGTTTCTTTACTTTTGTTTTTTGGCCTACTTCTTTAATTTAATATATGTAATTAAGTCATATGTTAGCCTTTTTTAATTACTTTAATTAGTAATTATATTTTAAACAATAAATAGAATAATGAAATTAAATATGGCGTTTGCTCCACTAGGATACAACTTTCTAAATCAAAGTCCTAATACTAGGGCTTTCATTTCTTGTGATATTTGTGTGTTTATCTATCTGCTATACAAGAATGATGATATGAATGTTTTCTGCGAATTTATAAGAAAAACTCGAAACATTATATAATATTTGGATTTTAAAAATAATTCAAATAATTAATTAACTAATCGGGTTTAATTTAAATCATAGAACCCAAGAGCTCCAAGGCCAATGTCTTTCCAGTCCAAGGGAATGGCATTAACTGGAAAAAACTTCTCTAGGGCTTTAACAAATTCAACAATCTCTCGGAAATATTGCTTTGCTTCCTCAGCCCCTGCCAAATCGTCAAATGTTATCCTTCACATTGCTGTCAACATCAAAACAATTGCATTAGGCCAATATGAAAATTTATTGAAAATAACTACAGAAAACATATTGTGGAGAAAAAGAGAGGAGAAAATCCGAACTTGTAAAAATGTGCAATTCAAACAACCATAAATAATTTTAAAAGAAACAACAGCAAATGAGTTATATAATACATACACTGTATGCATATGAGTTATATAGTGAACCAATCATGTAGATAAGCATTTGTGACAAAATTAGTGACAAAATTCATTCAGAATAAAGAGGAAAACCCGATAATTTAAAAAACAAAAACAAAAACAAAATTGACACATCA